TCCATTACCGAGCAGTCCTTGGAGTAGCAGTGCCACTAGTTGTACTTTTGGTTCTGCTATGTTCTGCTGCACTAACCACCCTTGCTATGCTGCTGCTGCTGCTGCTGCAGCGGCCACTGCGGCTGCAGCTGCCACTCGGGAGCGCTGTTACGCGGCACGGGGACACAACTTGCATGCCGGCATCCGTGCGCTGCGGGAGATAGCCTGCCTCTTCTTCAAACGGTTTCAAGAGCGCTAATTGCTGACTTGCAGTTGTTTCTCTTCTGCGCAAAGCTGCGCACTGTGCTTGAAGATAGTTGGCTCCTGCTTCTAGGCATAGAACACATGCCGACGGAGCAATCCCCGTCTACATCCGCTGCGGCTTAAGGCATCCTAAAGCAAGCCAGAGTGAAACCACAGGGTCACGGGCTCTTGAACCCTCTCAACTCTAACCATTCTATTGTACCATACTCGTATACTACAATCCTATAGTAGTATACCATTGCAATTTCATAGCGTCTGAGCCCAAACCTCAAACCGCAAACAAAAATCCAAAGCGTGCAAGCCCAAAACCCTCGAGCTAGAAGCTTAAAGCCAGCATCCCAGGCCATGGTGAAGCAGCGCGAGCTCCAAAACCTTCAATTCCACAGCTTAAACCCGACATTCCACGACCTTGTTTTCGCTTCTGCAAAACCAAACACGAATTCCAAAGATGAAACAACGACGTAGGAAAGACCCGAAAACTGTAGAGGTTGCGCAAGACTGCCTCCCACAAGAACTGATAAAGCATAAATCATCGTTTTACCTCAGCAAAACTGCCATTTGGCCCTGACGCCCCCAAAGACTACAAAGGCATGGCAACACCGAAGCTCCACAAACCCAAACCTCGACCGAAATCCAAAAAGGCCCATTTTATCCGGAACACTGTAAAGACATGCTGCCAGACAATCAAGCCATCAAACGCAAAACCTTGTTTTTGCCGTGGCAAAACCACCAAAAGCACTGGTTCCAAAGATCAAGCAATGACGAAAGCAAGACCCGAAAACTTTCCAGGTTGCGCAAGGATGTCTCCCAACACAAGAACTAATCATCCAGACATCATCATTTTGCCGCGGCAGAGCTGCCACTGTGCCTTAAAAGCACCAGCCATCGTGCGGGTCGTTTCATGTGGTGTTACCCAGTTTAAGGCCTGTCCTGTCGGGCATCCATGTCGACCCAATGAATGGACGTAATGGCTCAAACAGTAAGAGATCAACAGAAAACAAGACTTCAGTGTCGCTGGGTCTCACAAGGATGCTACGAGTTCTTGAAAGGTTCCTGGTTGAGAAGCCAAAATGCCAGAACATCAGTGTCTGACCAAACCCGCAGTTAGGATGCAATCGACTTTATCATCGTGTGCACACATCGGCTTTGTACTGTGATGTGTTCCAGCGTGGGGATGTGACTAACCAAACATCAGGAGAAGCCAATTTGAATGTCCAATTTGCGCCAACCTTCTCCGTTTTGCTTGTCATCCCGAACGACCTGATGATTCCTGCCACATCGGTCCTAGCCTTAAGTCTTGTACCTAGGCTTCTGCTGAGCATTGCTGTTGGCTCAGACTTTCAACGATTTGCAGGTCAGGCTAGACGTTGCTTACTGCGACCCAGTCCCATCGGAATGTTGACATGCGCGTGATTCATACTTGTAATAAGGACCTAATCGAGCTTATTTATGGAAGTATAGTCCACGGGCCTGTCAGCTGGCGGGGGGGCGGGCGGGGGTTGCTAAACACCATCTCCTGTTGTGGTTTACCAACCATTATTTAGGGTTTAAGGTTTCTTATTTCGTTTTTCCGTTTATGGTCTGCTGTAGGGTGTGGGTTTCGCCAAACAAAATCTCCTTATGGGGACGGGGTTTTGGGCTTATCAAAGTTTGCTTCAGGGGGTAAGGTGTTGTTTCCATGTGTTGGGGGTTTGCCAACCAAGGTCTTCTTTTTGGACTCGGGCTCAGGGCTCAGGGTTTGTTAAACAGATTTGCGTTCGGGTTTTGGTTTTTGCGGGCCAACATCTTCCTTCACGGCTTAGGGTGGAGAAACATTTTGCCCGAAAAACCTTTCAGGGTTTGGGCTTGGCTAACCAACATCTGCTTTAGGGTTTAAGATCTCATAAGATCCCCTTCTGTCTGTTGTGGTGTAGGGCAAGATCTTCTAGTCCGTGTGTCAGGTTGTTTCGTAACATATGTCTTGCCCCCGCCGCTTGGCGTTCTCCGGCAAGCAAGCACACCATGCAACAGCTTGGATCGCGCTGCTTTTACCAAACTTTTCCGGTCCGCCTGTAGACCAGGCGGCAGGAGTCGTTCACGGCGCATCAGCCAAGCCTTTTCAGCCATGTTATTGCTTTAATTTGGTGGCTGCACCCACAGGCTGGCAGCGAAGGCAGTGGACAGGAACACCCTTAAACACGATGGAAGGGCCCTGGCAGCTGAAGCATTCACTCTCACTTCCCATGCCAATAAGCAGATGTTACCGGTGACATATCCGGAGAACACCCCCCCCTCCCCCACTCTTCTCTACCACATTTCGGCACTCGTGTTGGTGTTTGGTGCCGCCGCGATGTTGCTGATGTGCTTCCCAACCCCGACAAGAGCCTGTGCCGCTGATGCTCCTGATGCACGCCCCAAGAAGAACTACGGCAGAGGATGACTCTTCGCTTGGCCCGCTTCGCGGCAAAGGTGGCTGAACTTCAGCTAAGACTTGGTGGGCATTTCGCAATCGAAAATCTTCGAAACTCATCGGCATGGGACCTCCCCTCGATGGTGGCCTCGGCTCGCCGACCCGCGGTTCGTAAAGTTCATGTGGACACGGGCGTTTTCGGGCTGAAGCATCGCAAGCCGATGCGCATTTATTTCTTCCCTCGGCTGGTTTCGACGATGCTAGTGTGACGGCGCAGGCCGGCTACTACACAAGAAGCTTCGCCCGGACGATCGTGACGGCGATGGAGCCCATTGAGACATCGAAAGAAGGGCCATGCAGGCTGCGATGACCGAGCACGAGGCCTTTGCAGTTGATGGTGAGAACCTGACCGTCGATCCGGAGGTTGCTGGTAAGGACGGGTTGACGGCTATGATGACATCAACACTTGGGAATCTGGAGATGAGGAGACAACACGGAAGCCGAGCAACTTCATGGGGTCCGTGCGGTGCCGGCGGCGGTTTACAAACCGGTCATTGCTTTCTGCTCGCCTGGCACTTGTAATGGTGATTGTCGCCAAGCTCAACACCTTTTGTTCTGCATCGCGGCCTACAACCATGCATGGACGCTGCTATTCTGCTATTCGCTGATGTAAAATCAGCTTTCGTCAACGGAGATCCGTATCTCAGCAGAGAGTTAGTTGCCCGGTGACAAACCTTTTTGCTGGACTTGGCTGTTTGGCCAGAGTCCGAAAAAAAGGAATATGCATTCAGCTGACGCTCCGAGGGAATGGTGGTTTCGTTTTTCCAGGAGCCCTGCTGACCATGGATGGGAACGATCTCAGATCGACGGAGCGCTGTGTTCCTTTGGTCAAACTCGAGGTAGTGATCGTCGCTCACGTTGACGACCTCCTCATGACCGGGTGACCTTTGGCCGAAAAGTCCTTGGAAGGCGAGGGCTGAGAACTCGCTTGAGGACGGCACCATCCGCCTGCCGAAAATGTGTTCTGTCAAGCCTGCCACTTTGTCTTTTTGGCGGACGACGACCTCTTGGCGGGCCGTGAAGGAAAGTCCAACATCCCGGACGCCCGCTCCCACAGAATTCCGTGGGTCTGCAGATCGTCCTACGCGGCCGCAACATTTGCCGCACAGCAGATCATGGACATGGGGATCCTCTGCCACGACGTCATCGCGGGCACGCGGGACTATCTGAGCATCGGCCAGCTGGAAGAGCGGTCTTTGGACAAAGTCCCGTTTACCCTTGTCGTCGACGCTAAAGATGTGCATGATAAAGGCAATTCCGGCGCGCCGAACTTCGGGACGCAAAAGTCGCTTGCGTATATTGTGTCGGACCATCACGTACTCTCCGGACTTTGTGAAATCGGTGCAGAAAACCAAGGGGCCTTCCCCGGCTTCCACTCGAACGTCCTCGGGAGCTGCCCCGGCGAGCCTCTTCGCCCCAACGACCCACTGTTCGGTCGGTCACCTCCTGAGGCTTAAAAGGTCAAAGGGCTGGCGCGCCCAGAATGGGTTAGGCATTCATGTGGCAAAGAGTGCGTGGTCCTTTCGGATGCCTGAGCCACGCTTTTCGAGTGAGTCGCTGCCGTACCGTGCCGCCTTGGCTGTTCAATTCGTGACGACCAGCTTGTTTGGAGGGTGCTTGAAAAAAGTACCAGATATGGTGCTTCGCGATTCAGCATGCGCTATTCGGCTGTGCAGAGACTTAGCCACCATATTCCATGCGGGAGCAGTGCCTCAGCTACTTGGTGCCGATTCAACGCAATACAGAAAGTATAGGGCATGTCAACGTTGCTCTGTTGCATCGGCACTCAAGTCGCATGGCCTGCTGTGGCTTACTTTTGCTCGAACTCGACATGCCTTAAGTAAGCCATAGGCTAGCTTGCAGATGCGGAAACATGCGCTGAACGTGCTTCCTCTTTGCCTGGTTGCACGCGGTCGTGTTTCTACATAGATAGATATCAACGGAAAGGACCGCAGGACACCTCTTACGCCGATGCTCATTTTGTTAGTTAGTGCTCAGGCTTGATGCTAAGGCTGTGTGTGGGTAGGACGGCTTTGACCGCACGTGCAATTTGCTCATCATGTGCGGGACGGCTTGGCGTTTTGGAGAATATCGCGGCCACTAACTGCCCACTCTACAGGAAACATCCGAATGCCTGGGGAGATTGGCCAAGACGTGGTTAGCTAAGTGGGTCTTTTGTCCGCGCAGGATTGCACATGGCTGTCACTGGCTCTGCAAGGCTGGTCCACACACCACGTGCTCTTCAACACCGAGCCCAGACTCCGAAGTACCTGTACTTCGGGTGCCATGGCCACAACTTGAATATTCAATTTTTTCATTGACATTGGCAGGTCCGATGATTGGGGTTTGTGTTTTGAGCTTTGTCGTTACGTTTGCTTCATACATGTGCTTCATGGTCTCGCAGCATATTGACTTGGGATGCGTTCGGTATGATTTTTTTCAAGCTCCAGAGTTATTCAGGGCCATTGAGGGCAGGTCATATTTCAATCAGCTGAGCTGTGTCGGTCGGTGTTTTCAGAACATGCAGCTGTCGCAACTCTACCAGATGCTCATTAGACTTCGGTCTGCAATGTGATCCTCTTTCTCCGAAGCATCTTACACAGAAGACACCGCACTGGTGCTGCAACGTCCACGCCCGGCACATCCCAGATAAACACAAGAGTCACAAGAATGTACATGCTTGATTATGCTCCGTATCAGCACACGGCAGTGCACTCGGCAGTATGAGCGATGGGTTATGGCCTGCAGAACATGTTGTGTTTTGGAAGCTGTGCTACCTCCTCTGAACTCCAATTCGAGAGTCAATGAATGCTGCGACGCCGCTTGTACAAACATCTTGATGTTCAATCTTCCCCACTGTAGCCACTTTCCTTGGATCATCCCACTTAGCAAACGGAAGCAGTGCACCAAACGACAACACTGTAGACGCTTGCTTAGACTGCCGACTGGAGCAAGACTCGCAGAACGAGTGTTCTGTTCAGAGAGCGGGACCGCGTGTTTGCCAGGGGCGGTGCTGACAGCGCTCGATTCCAGAAGCACTCCAGGCAGATTCGGCTTTGGGGCAAGCGTGGTGAGAGTGCACCGAACCCTGCTCACACGAACCTCAAGACCTCTCCATTCATGCGGAGTTGCCTGTCTCCCTTTGCATGATTATCAGGTTTGGTCACCTTGCGGTGGATGCTGACGGCATTTCTGAGGCCCAGCGAGCTGCTTTCGCTTGCTGCAGCTGAACAGTCCATGAGTCCATGATGCACCATGCCCATGCTGAGAGCTTCTTCGCTGGGCGTAGCTCGGCTGAGGACGTGCCAGATCCGGGAGGCTCGGCTGGCAGAGTTGCACCACTTCGTCAAGTGGAAAACTGGCGGCTGTTGTGGCTCGCAGGCTTTGATTTGCGTCCTGGTTTTCTATGTGGAGCTCGGTCAGATCTGTGCTCAGACAGGGAGCTTTGTCTCTTCGGCTCGACGTCCTAACAGTGCACCGGGCTGCAGGCGCGACAGGCAACGAGGCCACACACCCGCGGTTGAGGAAAGTTGCATTGCCAGATACGTTGCCTGAGCCTTTGGCAAAAAAACATGCGAGCAATACGCTTGCACGGCAGAATCTCTGTGTAAATAGGTTCGATAGGGTGTTTCTGATTCAGCATAACCCTGCCTGCACCATGTGGGCTTGTGGTCGCTGCGGCAGATTCTACCACCACAGAAGTCTGCCAGCAAATTTGCAATCATCACTTTGTAGAAAGTTTCTGTCCAACAAGTTCTCTGTCTCAAAGACTTGGACAGGTTGGTGAGCAGGTGGCAATACGCCCTTGCTCAGGAAGCTTGTCGACACTTATGCGGACGTGTTGCTTGCAAAGCTCCTCGTGCAACCAGAAAGCACGGAGATGTGTTGCGCTCTGAACGAGAAGCTGCTCCATGTGCTGAGGTTCACTTCCGACGACAGAGAAAGCACGAGGGAGAGAGAGGGAGGGAGAGAGAGAGAGAGAGAGACCATCACAAAAGCAAAAGCAAACCATCAGAAAAAAGGGCCATGATCATGATATGCTTTCTGCGTCGTTTTCCGGGGGATTAGGAGCGGGGGCCACGGTTCTCGTTGCACTGGTGGGCCATCGGTCCGGGGAGCTTAGGATGCTCCTCATGCCCGGGGGAGAGAGAGAGAGAGCCCCTTGCACCTGAAGGAAGAAGAGAGCGAGAGAGAGAGAGGAACTTCCACTAGCCCATAGCCCTTGCGAAAGAAGAGAGAGAGAGAGAGAGAGACAGCCCCGAAAGGGGCCATGCCGACGGACATTCGCGCACCTAGGGGGTAGGCCTTCGGGCCAGGGTTTTCCATGGGACCCATACCCCAAGCAAGCAAGCAAGCAAGCAAGCAAGCAAGCACGAAAGCAAGAAAGCGCGAATCCAGACGGCGACCAAGGGGGAGACATGCAGAGGAGAAGACCAGAGCAGGCGATCAGAGCCCTTTAGAACCAAGGAAAAACTCAGAGCCCCACACTGACGAAGCCACAATTGACGACACCATCTCAGGGAACCTGGCCAAATCTTGTGGGGGGAAATTGGCATTGGCCGAAATTCTCGTACCATGCGAAGAATCAGAACCCAAGAACACGCTCCCGCCTGCTGCCAGGCTTCATGCTTGCGGATGGTTCTCTGTCGTTTGATTGAAAAGTGGGCCAATAGCAGCATGTCACCAAACTCAGGGCAGCTGTGAGAGTTGACGCCGAGAACTTTCGTGTATAGGAAGGGTGCAGGATGGTGCAGGATATGGTAAGGCAAAGCAGATAAGGTTCTAGGTTTTGAGTTCAGGAAGGTAGAGGGTGATGATGAGCACCCCTCAAGCTGCGAGTCACGGGATCACAGTGTTACTCGTATGTTTGATGCCGCCTAATGTTGGACTAAGAGCCTGAGGGACATGGCCTCAGATACAGTCGGGTTTTTTGTGGTTCATCTGCAATCCGCAGCAGGAGAAGACAAACGATTTGAGCCACCTCGAGCAGACCCCGAAGCGGAAAGAGGAACGTTGATTTTGCGGGAAGCCCACAGATAACGCCAGCAGTCAAGCTCTAGCTTCCGACGGATGGCGTAGTTTCCTCTTGCAAACGCAGGACTCAACGCAACATTCCTCTCCATTTTAACTTCAACGTTGGGATTCATCCGTAATCAGCCCGCTGAGAAAATCAAAAGCCAAAAACCAAACCGACGCAGAAAGAGCGAGACAGAACGAGTTTACTGTTTTAACAAGCAGGATTGTGTTCGTTTGGCAAGAAGTGGAGAAGAAATGCTCAAATGCAGGGGAGGTTTGCCTGCACTTTGAAGCACCACGACGACAAAGACAATTTGATTGACCACATGGGCAGTACGGCTGCGACTTCGGAATGCTTCTTTGTGCCCAAGCCCGCCGCAAAGTTAGCATCAGCAATGGGGTTGCTGCTATGGCCGGCCCCTTACATTGATAAATCGCGGCCGGACATGCCGGAATCCTGGTTGGTTCGGAGGTCATTGTTCCTAGGAGCAAAAGCCGTCCCTGCGCAGTCGTACAGTGCTCAGCTGACCAGGGCCAGTGCTAGACATATTTGCATGAGACAGTGACGATGGTGCTGAGGCCTTACGCCGAAGATTTCCATGAGGACTTGAGATGGTCCTCAAAGTCCTGCAGATTCGATTCTGTGCATTGTTGGTTTCATTTGTTGGCTTGTTCTTGCAGGATGTGACAGTGCGAAGCCTTACGCATGCCCAACATACTTGTTCCGGCTACGATGAGCAATGGGAGCCGAGCTCAGTATGACAACTTGTGCTTGTCGCAGCCCGCGTAATAGTAATGCCGGAGAACTGATAACAAGCTGGGCAGAGTGTTTTTTACTATGGAGAAAGATTCCAGCGTGTCACGCCTGTTCGCTGTCGACCCCGCCTTGTTTTCGCGCTTGCATTGCCTCAGGACCTCTGCTCACAGCTTCCATCGTGTGTACGCTGTGAGCCTGGACCTTGAGAAGGGCTTTCCAGGTGACGTTTGAAATGTCAGCGCTCGGGGCTCATGACTAGAGCTCCTGCGCGGCATTGCGCGCGAACGAAAGTGTCGAACTCTGTTTCCGTGGCCATCGCGATTTCCGGAGCGATTGGACCGTTGGACACCTGGAGCGAAGGAGGCAGTTGTCCCAATACTGCCGGACCCGAGGTCTGTTGACTGCGCCTTCGGGCAGTGGGGTTCCTGGTTCGATGCAGGAGGCCATTGGGGCAAAAATCTGTCAGGAGTGCCGGTCTGCAGCAGCTTTGCGGGTGCTGTTTTGCAGATTGCAGGCTGCACGCAGATCCAGTTCAGACAGCGGGGCGTGGCGGTACTGTGGCAGCAGCGAGAGGGGAGAGTCCGTCAGAGCGGAAGGGAACAAATGAATCAAAATTGTCCCAGCTGAGGTGTCCAATAACGAATGTGGAAAGCCTTGTGCTGGTCCAAAGATACAGTCGCGTGCAAGCCCTGACTCGAGGCTAATTCGGGCTCGTGCGAGTTGCAGAGCGCCTTGGTAATTACACTCCGACTCGCCAGGTGCACAAAAGACGAAGTTGACTGTCGGTGGGAGGCAAACTGAAATGGTGCACCGATCCTGCGATGTGCAAGACATTCGCCGTCTGATTTAAGGCATGGTCAGCATGGACACAATGTAGCTCGCCAAACGACCAGTCCACTCGCAGCTGCCTCAAGATAGGCAAGACTTACTGCAAAAGTGGCATTGCACTCATGGATGGCTTCGCAGAGTTTTTCAAGCAATGCAGTTGACGAGCTCATGGGTCCCTTTGTCTCCAACACAGTCGGGACCAAGAGATGCGCATGTGCGATCGTCCGCCGGACGTGGTGTGGTGTTTCTTGTGATACAGTGGCATCGCATAACAAAGCTCTTCCGACACAGCCGAGCCTTGTCGCTTCACCTTTCCCCAGTTGCGCTGTCAGGGCAGGGTTTTTGTCTGAGCGCGGCCATGTGCGGTCGCGGATGCACGGAGGGTTATGGGGGGTAAACAGGCCTCAGCGCAACACAACGTGCTGTCATCCCAAAACACACCACAGAGACTATGTGGTTCTTCGGAATTTCATCACTGCAGTGCCCAGAATGATGAGTTGTCACAATGCAGTCCACGATGCCTCCTCCCCACGACCCACCACCGCACTCAAGTGTGCCAAGGGGTGATGTGCAAGAGAGTGGCTGAACCTTGGCAAGTCTTCAGGTTCGCGAACAATCGGCCAGGAAAACACACGCAGAGGCGAGCTCGTCACTGTGTGCACTGGATGGCTTTGCAGAGCCGCACCAGGTTCGCCATGTGTTGGCGAGATGAAGCAGACGCGACCTTGCAGCACGGCTCCTGGCTTTTTTTCAGCATCCTGCATTGATGAAAACGCTGGCCTGTAGCAATCAGAGAGTTTTGTGTTGGCACTTCGGCTTCCGCGTTTACTCGGAATCGCAGCAGCTTCGAGGCTCGGGCCCATCGCCGCAAGACTGCATGATGAGCGATTGGCGCGAGTGGAGCACATGCAGCTCAGACTGCGGTGCGCCCGCGCCTGGTTTTGCAACGTCTTTTCTCCGATACTTTGCTCATACGCACGACCCAGTAGTGCGAGCCCTGTCGGTCGAGCCTCCACGGAGTGGCTGGTGGTTCCGTGATGTTTCCATCGATGCTTGTATCGAGTGCTGTGGTGCTGTGCTTGCTGTAGCATTGTGCCTGTTGCTGTTGATGGGCATCGCAAAAGATGTCAAGGGTGATCGATGCTAATTGCAATCTAGTGGCAGGTGAAGGACAATACTCTCGCTTTCGCAGAGTTGTCCGTGAGGCTCAGCGCGCTTCTGCACATGATGGTGCTAGCCTTCTGCATGCAGATACAGCTTTCAGCGTCGCATTGAACTTGAATGCATCTTTCCGCTCTTTGAACAATCGAGCTCAAGGCATTGGCAAAGATTGGCAACAGTTAAAGTTAAAGGTGTTTCTTACGAACATGCTCTGGACGGGTTTCTGGCACAATCAGGCCAGTCGGGGCGGCCACCCCTGTGACGTGAGCACCTCGGGAATCATGAAGTTTGGTGATTCTACTCCGAATAAGCCTCGGCGCTCAGGGGGTTATCCACCAGACAGAGACGTGCCAGTTGAGGCTCAACAGATTCCGTTGCCTTGATATGATATCTGCTGTGAGACGACACGCGTACTAGCTGGTGTCCCCAAGAGGCCCTGCGACTCCCGCGACTGTGAAGTCAGCGAGTGGTCGGAGTGGTCAACGTCAAATCCCTCGGAGGCAGCATTACATCACAGTTGACTGGAAGTCGTCAAGGTGGTGTGCGGTTGCGGAGTTGGAGTTGAGTTGAACGAAGTGTTTGAGTTTGAGATGTCTTGGTCATGTAACTGGTGGACAGACACGGTTGCGCCGGGTCTGCAAGTTTGCAGCATGTCAGAGCAGGGCAGCTAATCAGAGGCAGCAGCTGGTGGTGCACATGGCCAAGATAGGGGCCAAGAGTGCTCATTGTCTGAAAGTGCAGGGTCACCAGCTGCACACTAGGCAGTGGCGCCGCCCTCGGTTGTCTTCAAAATGCCTTGCTGGTGCTTGGTGATGTCGGTGACGTCTTGTTTCGCTGTGCACTTTCCGTCAGGTTCCGAGAGCGACGCGTTCTCGTGCCCCCGGGCCCTGGTGGACGCCGGGAGCCTGCGACAATCTCTGCCTGCGCAGCTTGCAGTGCTCTGCTGTGCAGGCCAATGCCCAACCAGTCTGAGTGAGACGGTTCCGAGGGACAGGCCAGTTAGTGACAGGTAGCACCAGGTAGGATCCATGCAATAACTGGCCTTCAGCGCTGGGCTTGAAAGTTCTTGACTGTCCTGCCTCCAGGCAGCCGCAGCAGTGTGTCCTTTCCGCCGCGAGCTCATGCATCATCACGAGGCATGTGGCACAGCAGCCACCAAGTGGGCGCAGCAAGGAATGGTCACTGTGGTCTCATTGTGACCGCACCTGCGGCGGCGGTCAGATGATGCGAGAAAGATCTCTGCAGGACCAGTCCCCAGTCCAAGTTCTTCAGAATGCCCATTGCCATGAACTGGAGTGATTGGAGTGTTCTGAGAACGTGCTGGATAAGAGCAACCATGATGCACGTCTACAGAGCATACGAGACTCCCCAAAGCTTCGTACAAGGCTTCAGAAGTCGAAAGCGACATGGAGCTTGTGAAGTTTGCAGCATGGAGCTGCGCAGTCAACAATCCAAGATTTTGGAGGCGATCACGGTTGTTTTGCTTGAGGTTTTTTTTCCTGCAGAGACGGTTTATGAGCTGCGAGCCGCGGCAATGCGCCTGGCTGACGCGCGGTCGGTGCTTCGAGTGGAACCTGGAGCTGGCCTCCGTGCGGTGCGGCGCGCGTACCGCGAGCGCCTGTTGAAGGCACGTACGACGTCGTATGACCACGTGCTAAGACCATGTGCTACGACCATGTGCTGCGTGCATGCGCACGCGAGGTTCATCCTGACAAGGGCGGAGATCCTGAGGCCCAGCCCTGAGACACGAAGTCGTCAGCGCATCGTCTATTCACGTCTATTCAGTGATACCCTGGCAAAGAGTCGCTCCAATCGCTTTGGCCTGCGGTGCTGCGGTCGTCAGGAGTTTCGTCAAGTACGATTGGCTGGTGTGCTTCTCCTATCTCACAGCAAAGCCGCTTGTCCTCGAAGAGTTGCGAGGTTTCCTTACACTCTGCTGTGCTCTTGTTCTTCAGCAGGTACCACGGTAGCCTGATTGGCCTGTAACAGTCTGACAGTTCCTGCGCAACCGTTTCCCAAAACTCATAGACATCTCAAGTCGTCGCCCACAGCAAGACGAACATGAACCAGAAAAGTAGATGAAAGTGTAAGTGCGGCGTTGAGACTCTGTAGATGGTGCCGGAATAAGCTCCTGAGCTGAGGCTGTGACACCAAAGGCTCAGAAGCGATCGGTTTGCACTCAGTCGAAGGTCTCCCGACCTGCCCGCTCCACCAGCTGCGGAGCCGCACAAAGTCATGACTTCAATTGTCCAGCGGTCTCGTCGTAGGCTCGCTCAAGCAGTGGGCTCTCAAGTCTAGGCAGCAGTAGCCTGTGAAACTCAAATTTGTCGAAGCTGCAGGATCGAAAGAGCTGCAGCCGGATCCGTCGCGTCTGGCAAGTGTGTTCCAGGACGTTTTCACGGGTACAACACGACAGCACGAGTGCGATAGGCCGCAAAGAGTGTGGAGAGTCCTTATCAGGAGGGCCAAGCCAAGAGCTACGCGAGCCTGGATGCAGTCTTTGGTCGCGGGAACAAAGGCAAAGGCAAAGGGACCCCGACGTCCGCGAACACCATCAGCGCTCAGAAATCGGCTACCTGGCACATTTTGACTGACTATTCGAGCCTTCGCAAACCGTAACAAGCCTTGGAACGCGATTCTTGCTGCAATGTATTTGCAACGTCCGGTGGCTGTGCAACTTGTGAAGGAGATTTGGTTGGGTTGTTGGGGTTCTTTTCAGCCTTTGTTGGTGCCTTGGGCTTCAGACTGCCATAAACTTGCAACTTGCTTAGCCCCCATTTCCTGGCTCCGAGATTTGTCGCTGCTAATCTGTGCAGCAGAGAACGAAAAGGTGCTTGCAGGATGTGAGTTGCAGACTTGCGCATGGTTCTAGATTCTAGATGATTCTAGCTTTTTTCGAGACGATGAACTTTTCATCGCAGGTGCTCAGGGTTTATGGATTTCGGGTTTGCTAAACATGCTAAAATCCAGGCGAACTTACTCGTACAACTTCAGTGGTGTTGAGGGTCTGGGTCTTGTCGATGAGGTGTGAAGCTTTCGGGCATTAGTATACACAAGACGCACGGAGCACAAAAAGTAAACGGTACATTGTCCGCGCCGCCTGGAACTACTAACATTTATGGCCTTACTTGCCGCGCTTGTGTTCCGGATAACGATAGTTCAAGAGTTGGGAGGAGCGTCTACACATCGGAGAGATGCCCCGCGCCAGCAGCCAAAAAGCGTGCCCCGGACCCGCGAGGCACTGACAGCAAAAAGAACAATTCGCGCCTGCACCCGTGGAAAAATAGCAAGCGCTCAGCACCCGCTGCGAACAAAAAGACGGAGCAACCAAGCATCCGACAAACAGGCCACTCGCAGCAACAAAACAATGCAGTGCACCCGCAGCAAAAAGCAACGCGCCACCCGGCCCCCGGGGCCCGCTCCATCGGATTCCTCACACCCGGCCCCCGGGCAGCCCCTCACCCCCCAAAAGCGCGCCCACAGCAAAATAGAAAGCTCGCCCCATATGCGCAGCAGACAAAACGGCAGTGCACCCGCAGTAGAAAAGCATCCACGACAAACACAAAAAACACTCTCATCGGTACTCTTGCCAGGAGAGAAACTGGGGCAAGTGCGGGCGAAGACGATTTCAATGACTGGGTACCCGCAAGTAGGGGCAAGTGGCAGAAATCAGTTAATTGTGACGGTGTTTTTTCCCGCACTGAAACGATGTTGCAAGCGTCAGTCACTATATCCAGAACAGATAGCAACTATGAAACGAGATCCTTGTCAAATGAAACTACAGCAGGTGGCCGGATCGGATCTAATAGAGTGTCGTAAGAACGGTGGGACCTTTCGTAGTTCTGCCGGCCCATGCGGCAATCAGACAGCTTCACGAAGGGCGTCGGGCGACAGAGGAGTACACTCGACGGCAAACCTCTGTCACGTAAGCTGACGACTTTCACGGGCGCAGACACGACCCAGGTCCACGAGCCGCGTTGACAGATCTGGAAGTGTCTAGTTCGACCACGGAGCACTGCTGTCATAAGCACAGGAACATTCCGTTTCGACGAAGTTGGTTGTCTTCGCTCGACAAGCGCGATGCAGAAGCCGTGAACAGAGTAATCGCCCATGTCAAACAGCGGCGCCAGCAAAGGTTCTGCCCATCCACAAAATCCATTGCAGACACTGCAGATCAGATCCGTTTGACCGGCTAGTGGGCTCACGGTGAGCTGTGCGCCCTCCTTTGCCCTTGCGGTCAGCTGCAAGATTTCAGGCGGCTCATGGGATGACATGCAAGTTGCACCCGGAAAGGTGTGGCTACTTGGGCAGTCCCCACGTCTGCTCTCCTGCCAAGCTCGATCACACAACACTGCTGGCCCCTCCAGGCGGGTGCAGCGTGAAAGGACAGGACCGGTATCCGCACAGCAGTTGACCGGCGAAGACGAACACAGAACACTGCCAAGCTGCTTGTCGTTCTCCCATCTGAGGACAGTGCGTGCTGTGGTGTGGACATCTCAGCATCGAAGCTGGCAGTCCTTGTCGCAGAATTGAAGGCACTCACGTCAGAGGACATAAATGTCGCTGTGACGTCGTGGTCCGTCTGAATCTAGCTTGATCTTGATCTCCCTGAAGGAACGGCGGGTGCGGTTGGCTGCGTTGCCTGCAAAAGCACGGGAGCAGCTGCGGGAGCACCTCCAGTTCGCACCTTGTCTCACGAGATGTCCTGCAGGGGCTACTGATGCTTCGTGTGGCGCGCCACTCCCCTCGCAGGCCTCGCAGGCAGCCTCGGCTCAGCGAACTCCTGGTCACTGCGACCAAAGCGAGAGCAAAAGCAGTGCATCGAAGTCGTTACAACCAACGGAAGACGGCAATTACGATGGACTCGGAGCTGTTGAGGAGCCGGGCCATCAAGACGGCTTTTGCGGCTCAGGGGCCCAGCAGTGCGAGCATCTGCGAGCAGGATGTCTTGCCTTGGATCGCTTGGGGTCGACCCAGGCCACCATCTGCTGCGGATGGTTTCGGATTGCAACACAGGCTAGGGGTTGTTTCTGTGAGTAGAGGGAGTGTGCCACACCGCGTAAGGTTCCTGCAGTCCGATGCAGACATCCGACTGCCAATGGTGCCGGGCACAGTAAGCGGGTACGGCACTAGGCAATCGACATCGTCTAGCGAGGTATATCCGATCACGTTGCACAGTTCAGGTCTCAATGGGGAGAGTGGCAGAACCCTCGGCCGACCGCCACAGCACGCAGGTGCGTGTTTTGCAAAGTTGTTGGTGAAGGTCAGACTGCAGCGCACGATGCGGTGAGGGCTCCAAGCAAAGGCGTGGAAGGGCAAAGTGGCTTCCCACCCACTTTTATAGCTGCTTGCAAGATCTTGCAATCTGTCAGGGAGCGGCGAATCCTCTCTGAGGCACTCGCCGGAGGAACGGCATGCACCGGCCCCGTGAATTCGCGAAGAATCCAGCTGCTCAGGGGTTCGGAAGTGCTCTTCGTGAGGTGAAGGCCCTTTGAAAGAGCTGTCGATTTGCCAGTGCTTGCCTCTGAAGGGACAGCGCAGAATCATCATGATACGTCTGTGTTGCAGCCAAACAACATGCCTTCGCGTTGTTCAGGCTGAGCCAGTGCACTTTGGTCGACTGCCGTTGGGCAGATTGGCTCGATTCTTAGCCCAAGAAGGAAACTTTTCAATGAGGAGAGGGTTTTGTGGATCTGCATCTTGACTGAGGGGTGCATGGTCAGATTGCTCTTGCGAGTGCGGTGGTGGAACGAAACGACGAACCAGGGTGCGCACTCGAGAAAAGGAAGCATGCTTCCCTGACTGCAGCTTGCTTACACACAAGCCGGTGCAGGGTGTCATGGAAGCTCCGCGGAATGGTGGAAAAGAATGTGAGCCTCAGGCACCCTGCAGACGCTCCAAACATGTTTCAATGATGGTCTGGGTGGCAGGACATGGAGCAAGCCTTTCCTTGCAACACACAGCTGCCGAGCTGCAATTGACCGCAGAGTCAAAGCGCCCTCAGCGTACCACATCACGTCCCCGTTCAATCTGAGGCCTTGCGGAAGTGGTTGCGTGGATGGTCAGTGGGGAGCACGAAGCCGAGTAACGAAGTGGTAGCCGAAAAGCACAAGCGCCGTTTTGGCGGCGTCACGGGCAGGCCTGGAGCTCTTGGACCTCCTGCTCTGCAACATGCCTTGCGCTGATGGGTTTTCGCTGGCCTTTTTCCCACTTGAGAATCTGCCAAGGTTCCAGCAGCTATCAATCTCGAAGTCGCAATCTCGAAATCCAGTCTGTACCCCAGCAGTCGGCCTTGTGCACAAACTTGCTGCAGATGAATCAAGGTTTGGTAGCAATTAACAAACCAATATAAACCAAGCGTTTGTGTTCATTTTGTGACCTAACTTGCATGCTTGGAGGGGCTGCTCACAGTCTGTAAATTGCCACTACTAGATAATGGTCTGCGACGCGCAAAAGTTATGTCACGAGACGTCTGCGGAAATGGCGCGTCCACTTAGTCGGTCCTTGATTTTTTTGTGTCCCGGCCTTTCGCTTCTCGCTGTCGCCTTGACGAGCAAATATCGGTACCGTTGAAAACATCCCTGTGGTCGCAGAAGATGAGCAAGACTGGGGAAAGATGCCGGAGGAGGTGGCCACTGCCCGGACAACCCTCCAGCAAAACATCTTGGCACAAGCCACGTTTTGTCGCGAAAAATCACGATAAGCCTGCGTTGAGTGATGTGCAGGGCATGCACACAGTTTTGGAGGTGGTGGATGAACCCAGACTTGGCACAAGAGTGCGCAGGAACTGATGTTAAGTTTTCTTTTGTCCTCGCGCTGCGCCTGTATGTTTCTCTTGGCGGCGGAAGCGACACTGGCGACATTACCGGATTCATTTCGGTGGTACAGCATGGAGGCAGGTGTGGGCGGCCCTTGCTGCGCAGGACGACCCAACAAACGAGTTTCGTCTGCTGGTTTTCCTGCCGAACGTGAGGCCGCATCGGAAAATGCAACGAAGGCAGACGAGCCCGTCCGCTCTTGAGGATGAAGAGTGCCGTTACAGGGTGGATGGCACCCCTCCGTTGTCGGCCTTACATCGAAGGGTGAGTGGTGGCAAAACCCCGATGTGCAATCCCGTCCGCTATCCGCTGCCTGTGACAGGCTCCGTGCACGCGTGTTGCACAGACAGCTGCGCTGGATCAAACTTTCGCGGTTTCCTGTGTGTGGGTTCGTGTCTCCGTCTGAAGTGGCACGAGGAGCACAAGGGGACCCGCCCGCGTGCAAGCATCTTTGCGGTTCGAAGAAGACCATTCTGCTGTTCCGGCTCGCTGAGCCTCCGGGCCCTTTTTGCTCATGCACATTTCCGTGCAGGTAGACTGTACATTGTTGGCGCATCCCTCCCAGCCCTGACTTGGGCCTGCCGTCCCAGCCTGTCCGGCCTTTGACTTGGATGTGTCCTTACCTCTTCGCTCATCTCCCACCTCTTGCGTGCGATTGAAACATGCCATCGCTGGCCATCTCACAGGTGCTGCATGCGGCCAGTTCAACACCCTAATTGCATACTGCACCAGTTGCCTCTGCTTCTTCAAGCTTGGCCAGTCATGTGGGAAGCAGTGGTTTGTGTGTTCCAACAATGCTCCCTTTCACGTTCGGGCCTCCTGCCTGGAAGGCTCTCTCTGTAGCCCGGCACTAGGCTTGATGTAGGACTTTAGCCTGCCGAGCCTTCAATGAAAGGCGCGAGCCTCGCGTAATTGTGACAGATATCCAGCGAAGTACACGCGTGGATCGACCTTCAAGCCGAAGCTGCATCATGGGTTTAGCAAGTTAGTCACATCACTTCGAGTTTTATTCCAATCTGCACTCGACATCTCATTCCTGTTTCGCTCACATTGGAATCATATCCTTGGTAACTTTGACGCAACAGCTGTTAGGGTAGTTCGGCATGGCTTTCTTGATGCATTTGGCAGGTTCGTCAACGAGACGCGAGACCATCATCATCGTCATCGTCATCGTCGTCGTCGCCATCTTTATCGTCAGCGTCATCGACATCGTCATCATCGTCATCGTCATCATTTTCATCACCCTCGTCATCATCATCGTCATCACCATCATGTATTTTTGTACACCTAGTCTCTTTTGTGAGTCGTTCCGCGTACAAACGAGCTCTAGTCCACAGTAAGCATGGAATCATGAAGGCCGCGTTCTAAAACTGAATATCACCGGCGAGTTGCTCGTCAATATAGAAAATGCACGCTCGAGCATAAAGTCATCCAACACAATGCAATTCCCGTGCTGCCACGAGACATCCCCAGCGGGCCGTTGAGCGCAGACAGCGGGTGTTACAGAATAATGTCATCACACACAGCAAGTTTCCTGATATTTCCGCCGAGTCCTTCAGTATGGAAGACGAGCTCAACTGTATAAAATCATCAGACACAAAGCAAACTAATACACACGTTTTCTATGCTTCATACCTCCGGCGAGTCGATAAAGGGAGTTCTACAGTGCAGAATCCGTGTAGAACCAACACACACAAAGCAAATTCTATGCTAAAATACGCGCTTTCTATAGCCAATATCTCCGGCGAGTCGTTGAGCATAGAAAACGCGCGTTGCAGCATAGAATCATCGCACGCGCACGTCACAGCACCCAGTGTTCTGAAAATATTTCCGGGGAGTCGTTCAGTTTCTCACGCATTCCACAGTATAGAATCATCGTCTACAAAAAACGAATATCGTACTACTTAATATCGGCGAGTCTTAACTACAGAAAATGAGGCGCCCCAGTAGAGGTACAGTACAAGCATTCTATACTGAAGCGTACGTTCTCTATACTTAAGATTTCCGGCAAATCGTTCAGTTCATAGAACATGCACGTTCCAGTACAAAGCATCGAACAGAAATCCATTTTATTCTCAAGCGTGCATTTTCTATACGGATGATCACCGGCGAATCGTTAAGCATAGCTAACGGCCTAAATCGTAGTTTTTGTCAGAGGAGTTCAATAGATTCAGCTAGGTATGCGTCGCCGGCAGTTTCACGTGCGAGACAGTTCGTATAGTGCTGCGTTGCAACCATTTATACACGTAGAACCATCATGCGGCAATGATACCGTTTAGAAGATGCTGTAGCATATTGAGCTAGACCGTAGCGGAGAAAGATAGCGTGCTGTACGATTAAGAACAATGAAGCAAATACGATTCAAGATACAGCTTCAATGACGGGTGCAGTGTAGCATGGCTTAGTCTGGCAGGGCCTACCATCGCATACTCCTCCTGGTTGCATGCTACAGGCCGAGTAGCTGCGGCAAGGCCGCTGCCGGTCCGCGAGACGAGCGCCTCGACAGTCTTGAAAGGATCAGCACAGTGCAGCTCTATGAACCCGGTTGTCAGACAAACAGTGACGGAGAACCAAGCATGTCTTGCTCTCTTGTGCAGTGCCGCTTTTGGCCGTACATCTACGACAGGTATCAGGTGTGCAGCAACTTGCAGCTCCTTGGCTACATGAAGGGGGTGACAGAAAGATCTGGGAGTGGGTGCTATTGCATTTAGGCGTGTTTGATGATTTGCATATGCCTGTGGCTTTGAGAGTGCTGGAATCTGTTGCCAGAGACGCCAAAAGCCATGCCGCAGGTGAGGTTCTTGCTTGGCTTGAGAAAGTTTGTGGCAGGCCATGCATCCAGGACACAGATTGCCAGCTGCACGACTGGGGCGAATGGCGGCGCTCTTGTTTTAGCAGCAACATGTTTCTAGCAAGGGTAAGTAGGGATTCTGGAAATCCGAGGTCGCATTGCAGCTGCCATTGCTTTGGGATTCGAGAGAGGACATGGAGTTGCCGAGAAGAAGTTGTCGATTCACGAAAGACCCGCGGAGGAATCGCTTCATCTCCCACTTTGCCACGGGCAAGGGCAACCCTTGTGCCCGTGCAGCCCTCAAGGCCAGTCGCCCCTCGAAGCTTCAAAAAGCAAGAAGATCACGAATGGGCATTTTCCAAACGGCCAGGTCATCGAGCCGTGTAATCCCGGCCCGTGCTGATCTCAGAATACATCTCTCTGTTTCCACCTCTCCGCCTCACTGCCGCAGCCAGGATTCGACCCTTCGATCCCGATGCATTGGACAGCCTGCCTTTGCAACTGCAGGCAGGCTTCTGACTCTCACACCTCCAGCTTCTGACTGGTTCCCTGATTCCATTTGCAGATGCCTCCGACTGACTGCCAAGAGAAGCCGTGCCGTCCTATGTGGAAGTCTCGAGTCGTGCAATCTGTCGGTGTCGATCAGCTGTTGAGGCCTGTAGATTGTGAACTGCACGACTGGACTGAGTGGCCAAGCTCTCAGCTTTGATGCCATCCGTGGCACCGACAATCATAGAATTTGCTCCACACAGTCACAGGGAACCGGGTTTTGCAGTAGTGGCTGTCGACCGCCTCGGATACTAATGTACATTCATCTCTGCTTGTCAGTGGGGGCACTCTGTCTTTGAGCTCTGCATGTAATCCTGGCACAACGGGCCGTCGCATGCACAACATGAAACACACGGCTTCATGGCCATGGTGGTCACTGTACGAACGGAAAAACTAAAGCAAATTTCGGCTCATTTTGGTGAACCTCCAAAGGACACGTTGCTCTCGTACTTGCGGTGGTGGTCAGCGAGAGAGGAGTCGTACTGCCGGACACCTTCAACTCCGCCTGCTTCTGCCGTTTACGTGCAACTGTTGAAACCTGAAGGTCCGCACAGCACCGAAACACGGGGGACAGCCGTGTCGGGCAGACTCGCTTCCTGTAGCCTTGCAAATGTCTCAAGAGGGTGTACTCGAGAGGCAAATCTGATCTCACCACCGTGGAGCCATGCAATTTGGACCCCTGCCATCAAGTTCACTGTGAAGACTGCAGGTGGGATCCGGCATGTGTTGCAACAATGAAGGCGGTTTCAAAGCTTTGCGGCTATGGAGGTGGGGCCAGTGGAGCGACTGGGGAGGTTGCAGCAAGCGTTGCGCTTATGAATGGGAATCAAAATCTGTGAAGTTGCCTGCTTGCAGCCTGCTTAGCCTTCTCCAGGTGCGGCGGCCAAAAGTACCGCCATCGCTCCATAATCCAGATGGCGAACCACTGCGGTGCTCACCCCGGCGCCGTTTTCTTCCCAGCTCTAGTGCACTGTGACAAGGCAAGCCCTGTGACGTCAGAGCTGCGAAGGAGGCCAGCAGCACCCCCTGAAAAAGCAGGTCGTGTTCGCATCAGATGCCTGTCTTGAAGCGGATCTTGCAAATGGGGTATAAAGAACAGGATTCAGTATTTCCATGCCCATGCGACCTCTTCTTTTGATCTGCTCTCGGCATCAAACTGAACTGGTTGCCGCACCCTTCATACCCCTTGACCTGAAAGCTGGCAGATGCTGGCAGATGGGCTTGCAACAGCGTCCTAATGCCGGAGTCTTCGCAAATAAAAAGTTTGATCAAGCGCGAAGAGACCCACAAACCGGATGCCGCAAGAGAGGAAGAGGAAAAGGCAAGCACTGAGAGTTTGTTGAAAAACACAGACTGGCTACTGGCATGTGGGCCGACAAGATTCGTGAGACTTTGGCCAGACCACGAACTGCACCAGCGAGTGCAAAACGCCGCTGTATTGCTCTTGGACGGAGTGGCCATGGGCTGAGTTTTTCCAATTTGCGGAGCTTGCGGACAGAGCTCCGTGTCAGGTCCGGAGCGACAGCCTGTGCTCCGTGCGGCAGGGACCCCACGGCGTTGTGGACGCAGCGAGCATCAGCGAGCTGAGCCGAGGGCCCGCCACGACCATGCGGAACCGAGCCTTGGGCGCTCGCCTCGAGGGCCTGCGCTGCGAAGCTGCGCGCGAGCAGCCGCGAGCATCGCTGCAGAGTCGCAGCCGCCGAGGCTTTTCGGCCAGCGACCCGGGGCCTGGCGAGTGGTTTTTCCGGGTGCCCGGGCCCTGCTCTCTCTCGCTCTCTCTCTGTGACTTGCGTCTTTCCCTTGCACTCATCTCTCGATCCGAGGACTGGTGAGTCTGAGTGTGCGGGGACGCAGCTGAACGTGAGCTTGTGCCCTTCTGTCCCGGCCTTAGTTGCATGAGGGTACAGCGCAGTTGGCATATCGGCCGGTTGCGAGGATACGAAAGAGTGCAGGCCGTTCAGTCGAGAAGTGGATTCTTACTTAGTTCACCTTTGTCTACTCCAATAATCCCTGGCATGCCCCGTTCCGTTTTGCGATGTTTTGCGCTTGTTGAGCTTGCGCACCCCACGTGGGCGCGAGCAAGTGAGCTGCAGCATCGTTGCACTGCGGAGAAGGCAATTGTCCGTGGAAGGAGCATGTCTCGCATGTTGCTTCCTGTAACTTCTCTGATGCTCGCCACTCCGGATTGTGGTACATAGTCGCTACATGTAACTCATGGTGACTCGGCGTGCTTGTTCCAAGGCTGGAGCAAGCTGCGAACACTGCGCCTGTCGCTCAGTCGGCCATAGCGGGCCAGTGAGTTGGCCTCCTGCGTCGCCCGACGCACCTGCATCGACAGGTGCCGCAGCATTGCCAATTCAGCGAGTGGGGCGACTGGTTCGACCCTTTCTGCCTGATCAAAAAAGTGATGTTGACAACCTCTTTGCCAAATCAGGCGCGAACCGACCTGCGTCGGCCTTTGTGAGCGGGAGCGAACCATAGCGATGGTCTCAGCTTGGAGATGCTACAAGTAGCAGCTAGAGTCTAGAGAGCTTTTTCTTTGATAAAGGGTGTGCATGAGACTGCCCTGCCTTGATACAGTTCAGGCCACCATCAACAATGAATGCGGGAATCCATGTGCACGGCCTAGAGCGAATCGACAAGTCTCCACTGCATGGCGACGCGTGCTTGAGACCTCAGGTGACGGGCCAATGCTCATGACTAAGAGCTGCCCAGTGGAGTCCCAGACTGAGTGAAACGGCTTGGCAGACACCGCGCAAGGTTCCCAAACGACGTTTGCCAGGTGCACTCAACCAAAGGACTGCGCATTCTCCGCATGGACCGAGTGGCTCGAGCCTGAATGCAGTGCGGCAACATGCGGCAACGCTCAGCAAGTGCTGATGCCGTCTCTTTGACTGCAGGAGTCAGTGCCCGGTCTTCGCATCCCAGTCGCAGCGCACACGCTCGCGAACCATCGCCACGCCCTTGCCGGAAATCACCTCCAGCCACAGCCACAGCCATACGTCTCGAAGAGGCACAGCAGCCCGAAAACGAAGGAAGACCATGCGCACGTGACTTAAACGAGCAAAAGTCAGCTCACAACCGCGAGCCATTGCGAGCGCCTGCCTGGAGGTGGGTCCTTTAGAGGAGACAGTGGCCTGCCAACGCCTCGCTGCCCGTCTTGCGTCTAAGAGAGTCGTTGTCTGCTTCGCTCAGGTGAGTACAACCACCTGAAGGTGGACTGTGCTTTCTCGCCGTGGGATCCGTGGCCCGCTGCCTGGATCAGGCCAGTAGCAGTTGCTTCTTCCAATTGATGTAGTTGCGAGGTCCTCCTGCAGTCGCACCTGTGGCAGCGGCGGATGGAAGGATTGCCGACACAACACGAGTGCCTGTGTTGCTAGTCACGGAATGCTTCAGATCCAGAGCAAGCGACCAATTTGAACCTCCCCGCAGGAGCGTACACGAAACATCGCAGATGCTGCAGCAGGCGGTGGACTGCAGTGCAAAGGAGGCTGGAAGCCCATCGAAGGGGAAGCCCTGTGAATTCCACATGTCAGTTCTAGTACTACTGCCAAGGTTTGACCGAGCTGGTGGCATGTGATGGCGCAAAGGCAGATCGGGAGTTGCTGAGACGCTGTGCAGTCTTCCTGAAAGTTGCCCGGACGGTCCCGGGCGAGCCGCACAGCCTTGGAGCTTTGAAAAGGTTTGCGATGGTTACGAGAAAGTTGACTGCCAGCTGTGCCCTCATCCATCAGTTTGTCATGTGACGGGTCGAGCCTCGCGGCTTCTCGGAGATGCGAACAGACATCCTTCTGCGGGAGTTCAAATTCAGGTTTGCAGCGTGGGGCTCGTGGTCTGCACCGGCAGGGGTCCTGAGTCGATTTCAGCAGCGACCTCTGCTTCAGAAGTCCCAGATGCTGTGGCAAGGACACCAGCAATCAGAGGAAGCGCGAGAGAAAGATTGTGCAGATGGCTCTTCATGGTGGTGATGCCTGCTCTTGCCCTAGCTGTGCGCTGTGCTTGACAGCTTGGTATTCGCGAAGAATCGCCCCTGCAGAGGTGAAGGTTCCCTGGAGGACTCGTGTAGTAGCAATTTAGATTGAGCCATGCCCTTGCCATGTGCAGGAGGTGGAAAGCCTTCCCCCAGTGACCAGCGACTGCCTCGTGTCGGCTTCGGTCTCAGCGAGCTGCAGTGAAGCAGCTGCTCTCGTGCTAAGTCCAAGCTCAGGAGTGGAGCGAGTGGGACAACTGCGATCGAGGCCTCAGCCTCAGCGAAGGAGCTCCGTTCCCTCCTTGGGACCCTGACACCATGAACTGCCGTGCCGTGCCGTGTGGCGAGTGTGAGTGCCTACCGAATCTTACCGAGCGACATAGCGAGAATTCTGTGCGGAGCTCTTGGGGCACTGATGGGACAATGCGAAAAGGACTGTCATGAGCTGTTGGGACATGTGTCTGCGCTCCGGCTCTCAGGCGCAGCAGGACGAACTTTCCTTTGTGTGGGTCGTGGGATGCACATTTGGATCACAATGAGGAGGTGGGTTTTAAACAGATGATCAACTGCCATGTGTGAGTGGTGGTGTTATTCAAGCAAACACGTCTTTGTTTTGTCATTCTTCAAAGTCTTTCACCGCCAGGTGTTCCTGGGGGGAAGGGCAAGCCGCTCACCCCTGTTGAAACCATGATTTTGTTTTTGTTGATCCTGTTTGTGTTTTTTTCGGGTCCTGTAGAGGCTGAGGCAGTCCGTGGTCCGGATTGGAGGCTTTGCGAGGTTTCAATCTTGCAAGAATTGCTGCTTTGGGTGCCTCCTTGACATGCGTATTATGCGTGTAAATAAGCAAATAAATATACATAAATACATTAAAAATAAGTAAATAAATAGATAAATAAACAAACAAATAAATAAATAAATGTATATATATATATATATGCATATATATATATATGTTTATACGGTTTAGATTTAGGCTTGTTCAGCTGCTTTGCAGTTCTAGACTAGACGTCGGCAGTCGCACTCCCAGATGAGCTCGTCGACAAATCACGCAGCTTCGTCTGCCGAGGTAGGCAGTTTCACCATGCATGAGGCAGGCATGGCAAGGCAGGGCCCCTTCTTGTCCATGCAAGACCTTCTGGAGCACAGGCAGTCTTGGGGAGCAGACGGCGCTGCTCCAGTTCCGGGCATTGCCGACACTGGACCCCAGGGAGACTTTAGAGCAAACGCAGAGAGAGGCTCCATCGCTGAGCCACATGGTCAGAGGCGCCGCTGCTGGCAGCGAGCGAAGTCACCACTTCCGGCGAAGACTCCGCCGAAGCCGAGAGAAGCGGAACAGCGGCAGTGGAGCTCCACCCACTTCAAGCCTATGTAGTGGCCCATGTGCGCCCCTTCCCGGCATCGAACACAGCAGGCCGTCCTCCAAGAAAGGCCAGTGCAGGAGATGCCCCTCCAGCCATGGCCATGGCTGTGGAATCTTCTCTCGTGGCAGAGTCAACGCATGTCAACTCCACGAAGGAGAACAAGAAGCCTTTCTCCAATACAGTCACAGCCATGCCCATCTGCAGGACGGCAGCTTTGCGCACTCGGCTTACATGCGCCTTGGACGCAACTGACGCAACTTGTTGGACGCAGACGTGGCGAGCTTAGGCTTGGTGGGGGACCTTGTTTATGGCAACTTTTTGCAGGTGGACAAGAGTCCTTATTTCGCAACCGTGTGCGTCAGTTTGACACTGTGCATCATCGCATTGGTGAGCTTGAGTTCATCGTGCTCGCTCGTGGAACGGTGGCATGGGTCGTGGAGGGAGTGATGCAGCGATGCACGGCGAGGTGCATCAGACCAGGCCGACCACCGACGTCAAGTTTCTGTTGAACTCTACCAAGATCGACCACGACCACGAGCGAGCCAAGAAGGCTCGATGCTGTGAGACATACGCAAAGAGTGTCATGGGCGATGCCTTCTGGAACTTCCTAGATGGTGTGATGCGCATGCACGAGGAGGACTTGTTGAGGCTTAGTGCCAAACGCTGGCAGGCATGGCAGCTTCGATGCACGCAGCAGCCAAGCATGCTGCAGGCTTTCGAGCCCACCGACCGGGCACCTGCGGCTGTGCAGCTGGCGAGCACCAAAGCCGACTCGAAGATGGTGGCCGAGCTTGTCTTGGAGACTTGCGAAGACTACCTGAATCACAAGCCCTAGCTACAGGCCCGGTCCAAGGAAGCGAAGCAAGTCTTCTGCTTGTCTACCACCTTCGGCCGCTTTCGGATCCTGCGCAACCTGTGGCAGCACAGGAGCACGCGGGTCGCACCGAATTTGGTTGCAAATGGAATCGTATCGCACCTGCATGCTGCATGCCAGTAAGCCCAAAGAAGCACCTGTGCCGTGTTGGCCTGCTTCGTGGAGCCAACGGAGGCGAAGCCGAAGAAGCGTCCAGCGGAAAGCGTGCACTGATTTCGTCATGCCTTCATCGGTTCAGTCATCAAGGCTCTCGTTTTTTTGCTTCTTCCGTAATGCGCGCATCCTGAAGATCTCCAAGAGGTGCCTTTGTGGCTGTGTTTCAAGCGCTTCCTTTTTGAGCACGTCAGATTTTTCTCTTTTTTCCAGCAGGTCCAAGCTGTTCCGAGCCAACCACACCTGAGACTTGCTTGTAGTACAGCTCGCCATCAGACCAGTGCCTGATGCACGTGTGGTGTGCAGTACATGTCTACTTTCAGCTGCAGCTCATGTCAGGGATCCAAGACGAGTGCCGTCATCCTGTGAACTGCGCGCTCTGCTGTGGGTAAAACTTATTTAGGCTTATTTTATCTGGAGTAACTGTAGTCTATGCTGAAGGGGTCTACTTAGGTCGGAGCATCTCCAGGTTAGGCTATAGATTCGCAACCACCCTGAGTGCAAGCCTTTTTCGCGTCTCGACGACCGCCGACTGTAATGCAGAATCAGTGAAATAGCTCTCGCTGGTGTTTTCTACTTACAAGACGCGAGCCCCAGTCCCAGCCCTTAGCCAGGGCATCGTTAAGATGTGCGACGGGTGCGAGCTTCAAAGTATTAAGTGGAAAAAATCTTCCAGCAGAGTCGAGCTTTAGGACTAGGGGGAAGCACGGCACTGTTCCGACATGTGTGACACGGGGCGGCTCACTATGTCCGTGGTCCAAAGGGCATCAGGTGTTACGTATGATGCCGTAAAAGCTTAAATTGTTTTCTCGGTCACACCGAGGCTGCGGTGGAGGGCAGCCGACGAGACATCGGGAGGCAGCTCCGGATGGCACGGGTTCATTGAAAGGAAGGTGTTCTGTGCAGCCGGGCCAGGTCCGACGCTTCCCTCAAGCTGGGGGTGCCTCTTGTCCTACGGACCTCAAGGCGATGCCGTGCCAACAAATTTGGTGGCATGGCTTCACGGTACTTTCCGTTGAGAGCTTTCTGAAAAGCAAAAGATGGCAGGTGACACGCAGTTGCAACACCCAGTGGGTGACTAAAGCTGTGCGTTCCATGTGTCGTAGTGTTCATCCACACACGTCATCGGCTCGACGATGGAAGGTCTTGTGATGCTCAAGATTGCACCGTTTCGCAATGGGGTGAGTCTTGTGCTGAGTATGCCACCAAAGCAATAGGCTGAAGACAAGCTAAATCAGCTCTGGCAAGAGGTGGGGGCCTTGCTCCTCGAGCTGTGGGGCTGGGCAACAGAGTAGGAGCCTGGCACTCACCTACCTCCGACCTCCAGCTTCAAAATTTCTGCGAGAACGGATATCTAGGCCGGCACATCGTGAGCTTGCGAACCTTGGACGGAATTGGCGCAGCTCCTACTTCGCGAGAGTACTGCCCTCCTGCTGGCACAGACAACAGAGATGAGGACTGCAGGTCTTGCAAGGCTGTACAGCGGAAGCGATGTCTCGACAAATTCGAACCCGCTTCAGGCTGCAACAAAGGCCTCGGCATGACTCAACAGTGCGTGAGAGCCTCACGGACGGTCACACAAGTCACCTTTCGCTGGTGTGTTCACCAGGAAGGAGAGCACTATTGTGGCAAACTTGACTGCGAATGGGGCCTGTGCCCCAACCCAGAGCTCAGATGTACTCATGAGCCTATCATGCTCGTGACTGGGCTGCAGGCGAGTGGAGCGACTGGAGTGGGTGCACTTGCAGTTGTGATGGGGGACAGCCAGAGCCCCAGAACAGAGAATAGGAGAGTTTGGCCCGGTTGGCCCCCTTATTGCTTCTTCTCTCCCCGAAGAGGCAGACGAGAACGCGTCACATCGCCCGTGCCCCTCGCAATGGCGGCTTGCCCTGTGAGGACACGTTGCGGAATGAAGCTGGGACAGCTTCATGGTGGTTTGTCATAGCAGCTCACAGCAAATAATTGTGATCCAGGAGGGTGACAAAGAGCAGATCGCGTGTGGCTCTTAGAGTCCCAGAGAGCAATGCTTGAAGTGTTGTCATTTCGCTTCCCAGGCCATGCAACACGCAGCCCTGTGGCCAGTCAGACTGTCGAGATGGCCAGTTGGATGCTCAAGAAGACGAGATAGTGTGCGAATGCGTGCGATATGCTGCAATAGCTGCTCTCAAGTCTTTTGACTTAAGGTGGGCTGAATGGACGTCATGGGCTCCCTGCTCCGTTACGTGTGGTAGCCGATCTCAGCACACGGAAGACCTTGCCGACATTTTGATTTAGGCAGGCGCAGCACTGCATAGAAGCTCGAAAGGTGGTGGAGTCAGATTCCGAAGACGAAGGACAGATTCAACATGGGGTAGTGAGAGGCATTGATACAGCATCGCACCGTACCTGCACTGGCCCTCCGTGCGAAGGATCGGAATCATGGCGAACGACTGTGGCCGCGAGCAGCTTGCCCAGGATTTCTGAAGCGCCCTTTGGGACAAGCCTAGCTCATCCTAGCTCCAAAACTCAGGCCTCTGGGAAAGAACCGGGAGATTGCATTCTGCGATGTGGGCGTTCATTGCTCCAGGTCTTCTTTTGCTTTCTTCCAAACGATGAACGAAAGCCGCTGCCTGATCTGCAGGCCGGTGGACTGCGAGCTCTCAGAGCCCGGCTCCGAGCAGCTGAGGGATCTCTCACGGAGGGGAGGGCCCTCTTCTAAGAGGTGGAGCTCCTGGAGCGCCTGCAGTTCCAGCTGCGATGGGATCCGCCATCGCTCCCGCGTGGTCCGCTGCCCCGCTTGAAGATCCTTCAAGGCTTCGAGTCCAACCGGGGTGCCAGGTTCGAGTTTATGGAAGGGCCGATGGCCGGTGGTGCAAGGGCGTGTGGCCCTCGGTGGCATGAGGCTTCAAAGTTTTGTTGTTAAAATGTGTTGTTTCCAGGGCCTGCGAGAAACGGCACCGTGCCATCCGACCTTCGGCTCCTCGCTGCCGCAGGCCACAGGACTTTTCATTGACCGTTAAAGCTCTGCTTCAGCAATCTCGCACATTGCATCACGGCAGGGCTGTGGTCCGGGCCGCGCGCAAGACTGCTTGTTTGGTCCGTGGGAGGCTGGCGAAGCCTGCCCACGATCAAAAAAGTGCCCAGTGTGCTGCCCGTTGGTTGTAGCGACGAAGCTGTGAAGGCCTGGAAAGAGTGCAGCGCAACTTGCGACGGCGGTGAGCATGCGTGCCTTGGTGGCTTCAATTATGGTGGCGATTGGATCCTGGCTGGGATGTTTAATACATGCCTCCGTGGAAACTGCGAACAGACAGTGGCCGTGGTAACGACGGCCAACACTAAACATTTTCCGTGGAACTAGGCAAGCACGCCTAGTCTAACCAGACTAAGGGAGTAGCTTCAGTAGCTCCTGCACGTCCAACAAGCTGTGGCTGAATTTGTCTGGCAGAGCTGCAACGTATGAATTGTTGTTTCTGTCTAGTGGCAGCAAGAGGCTTCAGCTGTAGGATGTGATGACACTTCAGGCGAAGCCGAGAAATTGTTCAACATGCCAAGAACGGCGGACTACCATGTGGGAGCCCTACCTGGCTTCAACACCACAGCCTTCGGCCCCAACAGAGAGTAGAATTGCCAAGGCGAGGGCGACCTCAAGCAGATCTCCGAATGTGCCGGGAGCTTTCCGACGGCTCCTTCGTCCAAGATCCTGCTGCTAGCAAGTCTTGAATACGAGCAGCCCATGAGTGCAAAACCTCGGTCCTTTGTCCGGGCCCGGGCTTGGCGCCTGGGTCCTTTCGTCCGTGGGATGTCGTGGGAAGACTTCAAGCAAAGGGGAGGCGCAAATGTGGGTCGGGCCTGCGAAGATGTGCATGACAACCTGCGATCGCATTCCGATCTTGACACATAATTCCGATTGACAGGTCAACAGGAGGCACATGTCGTGTGGCCGAGGATAGTTGGGACATACGTGGCTGCCTGCTTTCTTTTCTAAATTATCTTCTGAAACTGGTTCTGTTGCAAGCGGGTTGAGTTTGGGTTGGATTCAGGCCAGACATGAATGCGGTGGCCCCGCACCCAAAGATTGCATTTTTGGTGACTGGGAGGACTTCTTGGGCCTTCGGGTCTCTGTCTCTGTATGTGCAGTCATGCTTAGAGCTTGAGACAAGCGAGCTTTGACCGGCATCAGCTGACAGGACTGGGGGGCCTGTGGCAAGTGCAGTGGACAGAGAAAGAGGCCGAAGTCGTCACGAAAAACATCGAAGGAAGTTTATGGCTACTGCATTGAAGCGATCCAAAAGGTTTCGCAGCATCCGGCAATATCCGACAGCTGGAGGCTGGAAATTCGTTTGGGGCCTTGTTGCTAAGGGCAAAGGTGACGTTGTGTGCACTTGGGGTTGAAAGGCAAAGAGTGCGAGCTCACGGACACCGAGGAGGCGCAGCCTTTTGAAAGCCGCTTCCGTTTCTTTCCAGAGTTGACTCAACGACTTTAGTGCTCTGCTCTGCTCGGAAGGCCGGCAAGTGCCCGCGAAGTTGTCACACACAGTCTCGGCCTTGGTGATCTTCGGTGCTCTTCGGTACCTGTTGCTCCTGAGCTTTGGAACAGCGACTGGCTGCCTGGCTTCCTTCGTGTCAACATCTGCGACTCAAGCGCTTTGAGGCATTTCTGTGGATGGGCAACGTGGGGCATCTGGGGCTCCTGTTCAGCGTCTTGCGGCCAAGGCCGCACTTATGTAGCCTCAGGTCGCTTGTCGCAGTGATGTGGTGACTCGAGGGTACCGACAGCGGCGAAGGCACCTTCAGTGCCCAGCTTGGCAACTGATGACGTCATCCGACAGACGGAACGCAGAAGGACCGGCCCTGAGATGCAAGTGAATCTCAGGCTGTCGGACAACCCGGATGCTCTTCTGCCCCTCGGATGTTTGAGCTACAGACATGGTCACTGGTTGAGCAGTTAGTTTGACAACACTGAGCGTTTGACTTTAGGATTGGCCGCGACATGATCCAAGAGTACGATGATCTCGTGCAGAGAACGGAGGATGCTTTGCATGCTTTTGAATCTGGCTGTCCAGCATGGCAGCATTGCGAACCAGAGGTGTGGTCGGTTCGGCTCCAACCGTCAGTGTGGCTAGACCGGAAGCGACCGATGCATGCTCAATCGAGAGTCGAGAGAGACGACGGAAGGAAGAGAGGCAATCGCTGTCGTGCAGAGAACAGTTTTTGTTTGTACAGATCTGCTGTCTTGGCCCGATGGCGATTTCCAAGCCGCGCTTCTGGATGCTAGCGCTGAGCTTAGCCGCATCGGGAAGGACCTTTCTGCAATTCTGGAGCTCCTCTGCAGCGACTCCCGGACAGCTGGGAAGCCGTCGAGTCAGGTGCTTTTCTGGGGACACCCCTCAGATTTCTAACTGTTTCTTGATCAGCACAGATTGCGCAAACGAGCGGAGGAGCAACGCCTTAGCTGCTTTGGAGACTGTTTGCAATCCACGGGTTCGTCTATTCAAGCGTGATGTGGCCGATGGTGCCCGCGGTTGCTACTTCTCCCATCTTGCAGTTTACGAGGAGGTCACTTCTGAAGGTATGCCCTGGGCTGTGATATTCGAAGACAATGTCCTGGTTCTTTCTGCTTCCGACCTAAAGACCATGCTGGACACATTGGATGAGTGGGCGAGTGCGGCGACTTCCTGGAAGATTCTGCACCTGAGCCTGGTGCATTCCGCAGCCTCACTGAAGCTTCGAAAAGCAGACGCACAGAAGGATGCTCAGGTGCTCGGGGTTGCCGGGGTCGTCAGAGTCGAGCGCACAGCACCTGATTGGTACGGTCCCGTGAAGATCGAACGTGCTCCCGGCCTTGGCACGACGGCTTATGTCATCTCCTCAGAAGCGGCAAAGGACGTTCTGAAAAGACACGCCGAGACCGGCTACACGCAGCCCATTGATGACTTGCTCGTCGAGCCTGGGCTGTGAATCCCTGTGTCGATGTGCAACCGCTTAAGGGGTGCTTAAGGGGTACGTGGTTGCACTGGCAACATGCGACATGACAGTGCAGCAGAGCACAAGTGGCTGGCTATGCGTGATGAGTCGCAACAACATTAAACGATGCTTGTCGGCTCGGATGGCCTTTGACCTGTCGTGCCTTCGACCCCCGGTTGAAAGTTCCAGGTTCCGGGATGTCAGACTACTCGCGTTGCTGCATGTGTGCTCTTAGGTTTTGCAACAAGTCAAGATCGAAGAAGCGTTATGGGTCTATGTATGTGCAGTGGTTTGGATTGCTGTGGTCACCATCGTACGGCATTCGACGGTACTGGCTCAGCTCTGAGAAATCAATGCACAATCTTGCCTCCTATGGAATGAAACGTTTGGTGCTGGATGCTTATGCGGGCCTGCTTGAAGTCTAAGGAACTGTTTGGAGCGAGTGGCACATTCGCTGCATATCCCGCTCCTGTGCATCGCGGAAGGGTTGTGAGCCTCATCAATCCAGATGCTTGGACGAACACAAATAAACTCAGAGCGGTTGGCTTATGGGTTGTCTCCTGGTGCTAGCAGCACTTGTTCAGCACCGTTTCTTCAGCTCCTGACTGTCGGCATGTTGGGTGGAGGCCCACCGTGCAAAGCACTCTCGTCAGCACCCTTCTGCACCATGCAGAGCCGACAACAAAGCTGTGCGAGTGATTACGTTTCGTCCGCTCGAAGTGTACAACATCTGGTTCGTACTTTTCGTGGTGTAAAAGTAGTCATGCGGTCTGGAGGGTACGCGTCTTGTCATGAGAACAACTTCAACATGTCGCGGTCGGCAGCTGGGGGGCAATACGACCTTCAACTCACCGGGGTTCCACGTGATTGTTCCTGAGCCGAGCTTCAGCATAACGGTGTGGCAGGCGCCTCGCACGGTTGCACCTCCAAGCCTCGAACCGCCTCGAACCGAGGACCAGGAGCTTTTTCGCGCAGTGATGTACGACCCTCGTGTTTTCAAAAACGTGGATGCGTGGCAGCATTAGCCTGGAAAACATCATGTGCCATTACAAGCCACACTCTACGTGGGTTATTTGCATGGTGTCTGCCCTGACGGCCTGTGGAAGACTGTGCAATCAATCTGTGCAGAGCCAATCAGTCTGATACGCCGCATGAAAAACTTTGTGCTGTTTGTGTGCCATGCTTGCAGCTGCCTTGCAGAACAGTTTGCCCATTCCACTTGATCCATTCTTGACTCCGCATGCAAGATGAATCATTCTGAGTGCTCGTGGCTGCCGCACGCTACTTAGGCCTTAGGCATTAAGTTGGGGTCATGCGTGCTTGGTCCATGCGGTACAAGCTTCCGAACGTGTTGAGGCATACTTCTGTCGAAGAAAGGTGCTCTCGCCGTGTGCGATTTATTCAATCATTGTTGTTTATTCCGCATTGAAGTTGTGTGGGATGGCAGCGCTGACTCCAACCATTAAGCCGGGCCGATCGAGCTAGTTTGGCAGGTGTACTTGAGACCTACTGCTGGACCTCTTTCTGGGACGGCTGTTGCTCATCCTCCTGCTCCCCTTCCTAGTACTACTACTGCCAGCCGGCCTGAGTGCGATTGGGAAGTAGGAGTGCTGGCAATCGCTGGCCTGTTCAGCCCTCGCGGTTGGCCCGGTTCGTGTGGTCTACCGGCCCAACGGGCGATGCTGGTGTCGTGTTTGGTGCATCCATAAACCTGCGCCCGTCGGCACTTGGCATTAGCTCTGCGGCCATGTGAAACATCATGCATGTCGCCCAGGAATGGACGCTGGTTCAGACGGGCTTATCGAGCAGCCAACTTGTTTGGGTATTTCTTGCTGCCATGGCAGTGCCTGGTGAAGAGATAGTTGCAGCTTTTGATTCGTTTTTGTCATTCGGTTTTGTGAGCTTTCACTGGGATCTCCGACTTGAAGACAACCTCAGGCATGGACTGTGGGTGTAAGCATCCCCGCCTTTAGTGCGCTGTTGAGATGAGAGTGTGCAGAGCGCGGAAGAAAGCAGAAGAATGCAAAAAGGCGACTTCGTCCTTTTGCCGCCTTGGCCTTGCCTCCGAAAAAAAGAAGGGCGTCTTCGTCGGCTGTCAGGAGCTGGATGCGCGCCACTTCCGGGAGCTGGCCATGGCCTTCGCTACTGGCGGTCACAGCCTCAGAGACACAGAGGGAGTCGTCCCTTACTTACTCCGAGGATCCTTAAGGCCTTGACGCTCTCAGAGCTCTGCTCTTGGCTGAGGTGCCTGCCTGATGCTTGTCTTCATGGCGATGCGGGGCGGGACTTCTTGGGGGCAGGACCACGATTGCTGGACGTGAAATGAAGCCCGAAGATGTTCATCATGAATGCTTGATCTCTGCCGCCAAGAACGCAGTCTCTTCCTGCAAGCTCCAACTCTTCTGTTGCATGGCTTTGCTTTGTTTATGTGCGGCGAACGCACCACAAAACAGTGCCGCCCACCCTCGACAAGGAACCCAGGTGAGTGAGTGAGTGAGTGAGTGGGATCTGAGAGCACTCAGCGAAAAGGCAGCCTCGCCGCCCTTGGTTTTGCTCTGCTCTTTTGTCCTCCACCCACAACGGGATACAACGGGAGAGCATGTGTGAGTATGCGCAGAAAAGGCGCCCCCTCAAATCCGTCGGAGTCCATCAAAACCAATGGACATCTGTTAGTTAAGATGCAATGGAAATTCGACTAAAGTCAGATTCAAACAAACACCGTAACATCCATCGAGCGCCGTAATATAATCTACAAAGCAATGAAAGCCGGTTAAAATACAATTCGAAAGTCATTTAAATCGGTTGAGTTCGTTCAAAATCAATGGAAATCCGTCACGATGCCATTTGAATCTAATGGTGCTTCTACAAAAACCGAATCCACACGAAGTTCCACCGAACTCAGCTGTCAACGGAAGTGCATCACCATGCAATTAAAATCCTTTTAGAGTTGTACTCACGGAACCAACAAATCCGTTGAATTCCACCAACATCCATGGAAGCCATCGGAAGTCTCTCTATCAGAGTCCTATTCAACAAGCACTTATGTCCATTGAATTGCTTCATAATCAACCGAAATCCATTGAAGTACAATTAAAAGCGTATTCAGCAAATACCAGCATGCATTCATTTTTCTTTGTTAATCCATTCCAATGGAATGCCATGCTTCTAGGATTCAAATCAGCATGATGCTAGCAAAGATCCCCAAATACTGCAAGAGCACCACGACGAACATGACGACCCGGACCATAAGGACCGCAAGTATATCCACGACCATCACTACGACCAAGACCACCAGGAGACGAGACCACCAAGCGACGACAAGGAGACCACCATGAGAATATCAGGAGATAACCCGGAGACCAGGAGACGACCATGAGACCCATTCAATTCGGTTAAAATGTTCTTGCGAGAGTAGATCCCCAAACAGTGAAGCACCCTGCGACAAGCACTTCAGGAGCAAGCCGCGCGCACCCCCGCCCCACCTGCACTCTGTGTGCATCCCTGTACCCAGGATGACCACGATCACTAGGCGACCACGGCAAGACCACCAGGACACCGAGTTCCAACGCCCGGAGACAGCAGGAAAACCGCCACTGCTACCGCCACCTCCACCACCGCCACTGCCACCGCCACCAGCGCCACCGTCACCGCCACTGCCGCAGCCGCGGCCACAGGCAGCCCCTGCCCCCGCCACCTCCACCACCACCATACAGCGCCGCCGCCACCACCACGGCCACCACCACCACCACCGCCACCGCCCCCACCCACCCCCGCCCCACTCTTCTGCAACGGTATGTCGAAGGTTTTTTATCCTCTGAACACAAGCTGTGACTTTACATAGACATGTGCAGGGCTATCGTACCGCGGAGGGCAGCGCGTCCTCTCGCACGTCTCGCACTCTGCCGGATGTTGAAGTTTATGCCTCTGAGTACAACCTTCCTATTCCAAGGTTTTCGAGAGCAGATAGTTTTCGCCCAAGAGTGCAGGAGACTGTGCCGCCCTCTGTGGAAAGATGCAATCGCTGCTTGTTGAGCATGTAGTAGCACGGCTGAGGCAGAGACAGCGAACGGAGAATACTGCCCGGGACCGAATCCCTTCAGTCACAGTTGCATGAGACGTGTCCTCGGGACGTGTCCTCATCCGAGTCTTGGTGGCAAGCGAACAAGAAATCGAGCTGGGAGCCAAGTGTGATTCGCCGTTCAAGAGAAAGTTTTCAGGAGTGTATTAGAGTCTAACCGTGTCGGTGTCCCGTGCAGGTTGCCGTGGGCTCCTCGTAGCCACGAGGAAAGTGAGTCCAGTTGAGGCTGTTTGGGGTCAGCAGTTCGTCAAGAGATTTGACGGATGTCGTGGGTCAGCTTGCCAGATGCGTCAGCTCATCGAACGTGTGGTGCCGAGAGCTTAGCTTTGTCTTCAGCAGCCCGCATTGTAGAGCTAATGTTGCGCGGCTATGTTGGATGATCGCCAGTCGTGGATTCTCCATGTGTGCTGGCATACTGGGTGGCAAGATTGCAGCCCTGTCAGGGGAACCAACAGGCAGCAATTCAGAAGTACTTACTGTCCATTTGAGGCACCAAAGAAGTGAGCCTGTGTTCTTTGTGCGCACTGTTTAATATTGCATCCGTACCCATAGGTCTCCGTAACCATGCCAAAGAAATTGTCCGTGTCGTGGCCACGGAAGCTAGTTCTACATTGGTTCTCACTTGGTGTTTCACATTGCCGATGGAATTGGCAGTTCGTAGTTCAGCCTGTGTCAGAGACGCTGTGGCTGTCCTGCAGCCCATAGGCAGCAAACACATTTACACGGTCTAGGTCCCATCACCTTTGCGAGCAAGGGGCGAGTGTTGAAGTGCAAGAAAAGATGGTGAACTGGATCCTTCCCCTTGTTTGCAAACATGGTGGCCGATGACGCGTGGATTGCGATTCGTCCGTTTGTCGTGATCCTCCCCGCCGAAGCTTTCAAAGTATGCTTGCGGGCCAAAAGGCAGATGTTTGCTCTTCTGCGCTCGTGTGATCTCATCCGACAATCACAGCCGGTAAGTAGCATCAAACAGCACTGTACGATATTGCTGATGTCCGCGAGTTCCGCATGCAATGAAACTCTGGCTCTTACGGCTCCAGCACGCGAATTCCCAAAGACTAAGCCTGTTCAGCATATTGCATGTGGGGCTTGAAGTCGCCACCCTTCAACCTTGACAGGCTCCCGAGAACACGCTGCACAGCCCCCTTGAAAGGATTCCAGTCACTGTAAGAAAAGCAAAAGCCCGCAAGCAGCCCGCGATCAGCAGCCGGGGCGGGAATGTTTCAGCTGGCGGCCTTGGCACCGCAGCACTGGCGCCTTCTCCTCGCTGGGATCCCCCACGGGCACCCGCAGAGCGCTCCGATTTTGAGGCGCATGTTGGAGGCAGAGCTTTGGACTTTGGACCGCTCGAAGTTCAAAGTTCGAAAGCCCAAGGGCGCCCGCTTTTTTGGAGGCATTCCAACCGGCGATGCTTTTCCTGGAGATTGACAAACAAGATCTCGCGGGCTTGAAAGCAAGGCCACAGTCCGAAGCTGGCATTCAATCACCATTCACCTGCCGTGCAGGTGCAGGAGTTTTGCATGACTAACATGTCAGACACGTTCAGACGCCAGGAAAGCATGTCCATGGCTTGTTTGCTGTTCCTGTTGCTCGCAGTGAGCCCTGTTGCCGTTTGCCGCAGGTCGGGATCATCAGATTCCGTGGCTGCAGAATGTGTCGAAGCACTGAGGCACATCCATCGCTTGCGGAAGCCAGTAATCAGGTTCCTTGCCGCCAGAGTGACCATTGATATCTGCCCAGGTGGGCGGATGGGCACAGCAGAAAACTGGCTCCAATTGACCGTGAACAACTGACGACACGCCGTCGTTTGGCACAGAGCCTGTCCTTGCATCCGGGTCAGCTTCTGAGTTCGAGGCGAGAAAAAAAATTATGCGGTTCCAAGCGGACTCCAGTGGTTGACGCAAATCTGTGGCAGGAGGCACTGGGGTACAGTGGTGCCACCGACTGCCTGCGCGACGGCTTGGAGAGAGCTCCTTCTGCAAGACTGCCCCATCTTGCATGAGGTCATGCTGGAAGAAGCTTGGTGAGGTTCAGCATGCTTCAGTCAGTAAGACAAAGTCTTTGCTTGACCACAAACTTCGGACATTGTGGGATGCCTTTGCTATTAGTGTAGGAAAAATGCACAGGGTAGAACTTAAAAGCTTTAGGCGATCCCTCTTGCTTGGCACAAAACTTGAGTCCTCTTAGAGATAAGGCATGCGAACGCTGAAAGTGCCCGAGGAGAGAGACGAATTCATGGCCTACCAGATACTGCTCGGTTTGGAGCGGCATCTCTCGAGTCGCTACCACTTTGCTGGCGAGGCACCCGAGGAGGAGGACCTCCTAATGCGCCGCCTGCAGCGCAGGGCCGCTGCCGAAAAAAGCCGCATCGGCGCAGCGCTGCGCTGGAGCCTCGGCGACGGCGGCGACGGCGGCGACGGCCTCGGAGAGCGCTCGGCGCCGGCGGAGGCTCCTTCCAGGCTTCTGCTTCAGCTGGGCGAGGAGTGGGAGTCGTTCTCGGTGCCCGAGGCCCGTCCGAGCCCGGAGCACGTCGTCGTCATTTGCGGCCCTGCTCACGTGGAGGCATTGCGGCATCGCTTGGAGGCTGCCTTGGGCGATTCCAAGGCAGCGCATCGCTTCCTTGCCCAGAATGCGGGGCTCCTCCCTCGGCTTCTCATAAATGCGACGTGGAGGTGGGAGCCTGGATCCGTGCAAGATATACTCAGCATGGTGGAGAGCGTGCCGTCTCCCGACGCTGTTCACGTGCAAGGCCATGGACAAGGGCCTCTGGGGCCTGTTGGGCCTCTGGCAGCCATGGCAGCATCCGCTTCGAATGCATTGGGTCTATCGGCCAAAGTGCCTGAGAACCGTGTACCCTTTGCAGGGCCAGGTCAACTGTTTATTCACGAGCGCTTGCGGTCACTGTCGCAAAGACCTCTTCCTGTGTGGCCCGTCTTTTTGGTGATGTACATTCTGACTCCCGTGCTGGCATTTTTGGTCATCCCGATTGCCATTGACATTCGTTGGCTTCAGGCCTCTGCGTCCTGGCTAGCTTTCCCATTCAGCGAAGAGAATCGAAGCGACGAAAACCTGTCAGGGACTGGCTGCCAGAGAGTCGAGCTCGAGCGGCTTCAAAGCTGTCCCCCCAATCTGCAGCTTTTGCGGATATCCTTGATCAGCTTCCTGCGAATTCCGAATTCTGGGTTCGTTTGTCGCCGTAGGGATGGGGACAGGCAGGCAATTCTGAGCTGAAATGAACCATACTGAACCATTGCTGAAAGTCATGATGAGTCAAGAGATATAATATAATCGGGCACACACTACATGCGCAATGAAGAAGCCTAGGGCCGTACGGACCCACCAAGAGCGCGCCGGACAATACGACAGAGAGTATTTGTGCGGGGCGTTCATTGCTCTTGCAATAAGCATCGCTAGCACAATCCAGTGCGGCTCGTGCCGGACTTATGTTGCTTCGCACTATTTGCTGATGTGCAAGGTATGCACATTCGTCAAAACTTTAGGTCACTGAGCGGATGGCTAAAGGGGTCACGAATGAGTAGAGCGTTTCTGGGAAATATGTGGGCGGGGAGAGGAGGAAACGATGTCTGCTGAATGGGCGTCGACTCAAAAGCCCGTGCTAGTCGTAGAAGAAACATAGGGCATTGCCGAAATCATCCTCCTTTCACCTCGTGGCTGAAGCCCCGGATAGTCTCTTCCGCTTGGCTCGTGTAATCACAGATGACAACAGGCCGCACCGTGAAGGGGGCTCTGACACTTGATAATTGTTGCTATGAGCCAGTCGGCAGCATGCTCCAAGGCATAATGCCGACAGCTGCCGTTTGGAACAAGCGCTAAACAGCTACAGCTACATGGAGTCAAAGCTGTGTTGCAAAATACAAAGGGTTGTTGCACGTAGATGGTCTTCAAGCAGAGAGATGGGCGAAAACCACGTTGCCGATTTCTGCCATAGAAGGCGAGTACTGAGCACCACTAGATCACTAGATTCCTTCCTACAGCTACAGCGCTTGGCTGTGCCATGGTGGAGCAGCTCCGGCTCTTTGAGGAAGGCGAAGATGACATAGATCTGGTGCTTTGGCATGTTAAATGCAGTAGCAGCTGCGTGGACTGTAAGCGCTGCTTTGCAGCCTCCGTGCAGTCGAATTCGAAGCAGCTTGGTTGTAGGATGATTGTGCAAGAGGGAAGCTTCAAGATCAAGACTACAATCCCTTCATTCCAGAGTCCTCAATCCCTGCGTGGACTACTGTTCCAATTCTTGCTTCTATTTATCATCATTAGCTTTCATTCAGGGAGTGTTTTTCCCTCTCTCTGTACTCAGCGGTACTCAGCCTCCAGTAAACGGCTCCAGCTTCTCGGACAGGTTTGTCAGCACCCAGTAAAAAGAGTCTTTCAGCTTACAAGACCACCCCGTGAGGCACCCCAGTAAAGGATGCGAGCTTTGAGAGACTGTTCGACAACCCCGGCCCTGCGAGTTGGCACAACACCGCAGAACACACGCGAAACAGGGGCGGGAACATGTGTGCGGGACTCCGGTGAGAACACGATTTTTGGCACAGACATGAGTCGCAGCCAGAATGTGTTTGGCGGTGGGAGCATGGAAGTGCCAAGGAGGCGATCAGTGTGTCGTTTGGCGTCGTACGTTATTAACCTCGGTAACGGTGCTGTGGCGGGAGCACGAACAAGCACATGCATAAAGCAGGCCACTAGGCCCACTAGGCTGGAGATGGGTCGGCCAGAGGCGATGTTTGGCTGACAATTTTAGCCGTTGTGGCAACTGCTGGTTGGTTGGACTGAAGCTTCGCTTCGACCGAAGCAGCCGTGCGCTGGTTCTATGCATGCGTGCCTGATTTGACAGAAGCCAAGGAAGATGAGGAGGAAGAGGCTGAGGTGGGCGAGGATGTTCTGCATACTTTGCATGCTCCTAGCTCACCTTAGCTCCCTGCACGGCTTTGTGTGAAAAAGGCAGGGGACGCTAAATCAAGACAGAGTGGGATTTCAGACATGAGGTTTTGAAGTCACAAGCTGCACTAGCTGCAGATCCGACAAGTACTCATCAAGGCTTCTGGACAGGGAGCTTTGTAGTTGGGATTCAGACACAACTCACCCTCAAGAGGTCGCAGGTAGCCTCATGAATACTGACAAGCATCATACTTTCCTGCATGGTGAAGTCCGCCCAGCAACTCAGCAGTTACTCGCATCATGGTTTGTTCTTACAGTCAGCATCTCGGACTTTGCATTCGCTGCGTTGATGAGCTTGCGACACCTTGGCAGGCGGACGAGGATGGTGAAGACGCCATAGACGATGCCGACGGACTGGATGATGCCAATGAGGTCGCGACGACAACAGAAGGGATCTGCTCCCGTTCGTTTCGGAATCTGTCGGTTGCAGGAAGAGGGGCAAGTCATGCAAGTCATCGGTGCTTTACGCAGGGCGGGGATGCTCAGCTTGGATCCCGCATCCTGGCGCGAGTGGCAGAAGGCCAGAACTGGGAGCAGTGACAAAAGACAGCAAGGCTCACGGTCAAGCCATGAGCGTCCATGAGGCAAGCAAACGGATCTCAACGCGCTGAAGCAAGAGATTCAGGATGATGCCAGCCTTCTAGGTCAGTGGAGGAAGGCGCCACTTAGATGCACCTCTCGAGGCAAAGGTGATGCAACAGTAGGGCTTTCCAGAACATTCGGTCGAACTCGTGCACAAGGCAAGAGTTGGGTGAGAAGCGCACCAGGGAAGAGGTGCGATCTTGGTCTCGAAATGCGTTGTGCATCGGCGATTGCACTCTTGTGTATCTTGTGTCTACTGAGGTCTTTAAAGGCCTTGTCGCCAACTGCTCTACCTACTTCGGGTATTCAGAAGAGCTGGCCGAGTACTTTCTGCAGATGTTCAGCCCGGAAACGGCAATCAAGTTCTTCGAGGTGCCTTGCCCGCTATTGCGCACGGTCATGTGATTCATGCACCTCGCCAGAATGCAGTGAAGTCTTGATTTGCCTGGTGGATGCGTCTCAGGCCAACGAGCAGCAACGGCCATTGACTTTGCGGACCAACACACTCAAGGCAAGGGCGAAGGCTTATTGAGTTTTATTGATGGCATCCGCCTTGTCAGCTCTCTAGTGCCCAGCCTTGGCCACGGCATGTCGCCTGTTGGCATGCTGCTGGCGATAGTCGCAGGATGGTTACTTCGTTATGAATGTATTGATTTTGTGGTTCGGAGGAGTCAATCTCTGCTGGGAGTTAATCAAGGAATGAACCTTTGCGTGTTTCTGGACAAAACTCAGCAGCAAATGTCATCACCTTTTACCCAGAAAGGTACTGGATCTTCGGACATCTTCGGACTAGGAGTGCCCTATTTGAGTCGGATGGGCCGTGGGCGGCGGGGCCGGTCTCTTCTCGTTTCCCGTTGTATTCGGGCTCTTTTCTTCGTTCCCTGACACGGGAGAACACCTCAACCTGCTGTCGCACCTATGTGGCGTGGCAAGTGCACTCTTCCGTCGTTGGGGTTGTTTGGATGAGAGAAGGGTAGTGGCGACCGTCAGGAGTCTAGAACGGTTCTTGCGATGGCAGGCACGGCGCTCGTCCTTGATGCAGGCGCTGACGCAGCGCAAGGCACGACGGCAGACCACCGTAGCGTGTGTTCTAAAGGTCGGCTGTTTTGCATCGCCGCTGCTCAGCGTCTGCGGTTCCATCGTCTGGCCATGGAGGTCCAAGTTGATCCAGTCGGAAGTTGGACCAAAGTTGGTTTGAAAGTTTATCAGTCACAAGTTCCTGTTGGCGCGACTCCCGAGTACCTGGGTGGCCATTACATGATTCAGAGGCTTGCCTGCACAGTGCCTGCTGATCGGTCCATTCACGCCAGCATGTCTCGTACCGAAAGCTTTTCAAGGAGTGCATCTTCGTTTATTCCAGTGATGGCGTTGGCTCCACAACAGGACGAGGCTCTGACGGTCTCAGGTTGAATCAAAGTTTAATCACGGCACGTTAGGGTCGCCCCCGGAACAGGGCCACTCTATCGACGGCTAGTCACCAGTCATGGCAATTGAGTTCCCTTTATGAGGGGTGCCAACTTTGAAGCACTGTTGCGGCTTATGGGTGGTGCGAGTATCTGATATCTACGCTATGCAGTGCTTCAGTTGCTTATCGGGGATGTTGCTGTTCTGGAATCGCCGGGGCTCTTCACCGATGTCTCAATTTAAGAACCATGCAGCAGCGGCTTCACGAAGAGAGTCTGATGTTAGTTCTCAAACGGAGAGTTCATGGAGCATCCGAGTCACGGCAAAAATCCGAGACGACACCTTGGGCCGTAGAGAGCCGAGCCATCGAGCCATGGCCCTTGGAGGGTCATCTGGTTATGGGAGAGAGCAGTCGCCGGTGTCCCCGAACACGTCGGACGTGCCCGAATTGTTAAACCCACATGGGACATTTAGTCGCACATGTGCTTATCTTGCCCTCTGTGGTCTGGTTTTCACATGCTGATGCTCTGCTCAGTAGAACCTTTGTGCTGAAGCCACTGAGGAGTGCGCTGAGAAAGGTTCTCATACTGCATTTGTGCTGCACATGGTGGAGATGAGCAGAGGGCAGGTGCAAGCTTCTGCACATGTCCGTCGCATTATCCTAGGTACACTGGTGGCACAATTGGTATGGCCCGTGGTGCTGACGGGAGCTTAGGCCCAATACGTGGGGCACTGAAGAAGCGACTGCGGTCTGTGGACGAGCTCAATCAGGACGCTGGACACTAGCTTTGATTCGTCCGAGCTTAGAGTCTAGAGCATGATGGCATTTTCCGAAGGATCTTTTTCCACAGTGTTTCTTCGATGAGTTTGACCCGCTGTTGGACTCCGCTGACATGTCTCTTGAGAAATCTACGGAATTGCAGTTGACCTTCTGGTTTTCCTGTTTCGGGGCTTTCAATTTGCAAGTACATCGTCTATGTTGAGGTGCCCTGAAGATTGGTGCACCATGGCTTCGTGCATCGAGCGTCATTACTACGATTTTGACGGCTTTGTCGTAGCCTGGCACCAATTGATGGTGCAGACGAGCTTAGCAAAGAGAGAAGTTCTCCTCTCCTGCACGTTAATTGCACATTCGTTACACGCTGATCCAAGCCCAAAGCCAAGGTCTTGCATGGCACGGAATCCCAAACTGCAAGAATGAAAGCCGCTGCATGTGTCCCGTTGATCCGGACGTGCTTGCACGTCACTAAGCCTGGCCGAGGACACGATGGCCTACACTGCATCGGCACTTAGCTTCATGCTTGAGCAGCTCTCCAAGCCGGTCATTCTTACAGGCACACCATGTCCACACATCTAACGTGCTGCACAGGTATTGGGTACGTGTATGCATGCATGCATGTATGTATGTATGTATGTATGTATGTAGCCATTTTGGCTCAAGGGCTCAGATTGCCTCACCAGCGAAGGCGGTTGGACCAGGTGGGACAGGTCCTCGCTGAGATGCTTGCTGGAGGAGCGGTGTCACTTAAGGCTTTGCGGTCAAGCCTGAGCAGAGGCTGGGGACGAGTCTTTATCACAGGCGAGCAGATATCAAACTTTTTGCTGAGCATTATGTTGCACAGCGGGGGATAGGGTATTGTGCGACGGCGCTGCCTGCTCACAAGCTGGCCAAGGTGCGTGATCCGTATGTTGGAAAATGGGAACCATTTCCCGGCCCTGGTGCTTTGAGGATCGGGGCAGGATTCTCGTCGAGTCATTGCACGACCACCTGGCCGCGAGTCATGGCGACGTACAGCTCGACATAGTGTGCTGGGAGTTTTTCTGTCTGGAGCATGGAATTCTGCTTGATGGACAACTGCCCTCAGACCAAGCGATCGGTGGTAGAAATTATGTTTACAATATCTTCTGCCGTATGTATGTTCTTGGCAGAAAGTGTAATCGGGTACATGATGTATGGTCTTGGCAGAGAATTCCTTTCGTGTAATCGGGTACATGATGCATGGTCTTGGCAGAAAGTTCTTTTCGTGTAGGCGAGCACATGATGTATAGTCGTGCATGCAATTCTGTGCAACATGTCAGAGTTTGACCAAACCATCCGAAGGATGCAAACTTGGCTCGTCATTAAAACCCACTGCCAGCATGGAAGCGCTTTGGGTTGAGATGATGGCGTGCGACAAGTAGATCCAATCCACCGAGGAGGTGGTCCATGGCCCGCTAACACCAGATGAAGACGCCAAGGTGCATCACACTTCTCTGAACATGACAACCCTCAAGCAAAGGCTTGTTAGGGTGTCTTGCGAGAAGAACCGGCCATTGGCCGTGAAAGATGGCGACTTGGTCCGGCTGCGCAGGTCAAAGCCTCAAGCGCACTCACTGTGATTCTGGCATTGGCGACTCATGTTGCCATCCCAGGTGGACACCCGACCAGGACGAGCTCGTTGAGCTGATGCCTTCCACTCCAAAGATACCTCAAAGATCTGCTTGAAATCCAACCATCAGGTGACAGTTACATTCCTCAGTGGAGAACGCAAGAAGATCCACATCAGGCGCTGTAAGGCACGGCAGAGTTGGGCAGGGAGTGGACCAGTGCCAGACCGGAGGGCTACCTTGGTCTTTGGGGGATGGCAGGCTCAGACACAGAAGGCAATTTTGCTCCACCAGTTGAGCGAGGCCGTCAAAGCACCTGGCATTCAGCACGAATTCGACCAAGAGGCCTTCTGCACCGGGCTCACGCGATCGGTGACACTATGCAACTTTCGGTGGAGAGGAACTGGAGTGTGGTGCGGTGCGATGAGAGGGCATGGTGCATACTTTGCAAAGCGCTACATCCAAAGGGACATGACTTAAGATGCGGCATCTTTCACATGATGTGGAACAATGGGTTGGCGCGGCACACTTCCCCCCGGGGTGCACTCTGTCGAAGTACGAGGAGGAAGTCCACGACCACTTCAGGGGGTTGCCGCGGAACACACACAGGGTTCTGTTCCTTGCCTGCTCCATCAGGTGTGCCTTGAGAAAAAACTCCATGTCATACCGCATAATCATACACGGCAGCATCTCCCTACGAGCAGGCCGAGACAGGCAGACAGAGAAGGTCAGTGCATTGATTTCTATGTGGGCCGGCTCATGTCGTGCAGAGGGGTGTGGATCCATGAGGACTCTTACCTATGCCTTGGAACAGATCAATCTTCTTCCCTGCATGCTCTGGTAAGACCACCCCTCACCCTCACGAGGCAACTCTTGAAGCAGCACAAGGTCATTTTGCGAAAGGCCACTGCCGGAACCATCACCGATTGCCTTAGACAAGGAGTGCGGGTCTGCTCCGCCGATGTTCCACCCAAGGATCCTGTAACCTTCGGCGCTGCGCTGGCTGGCATCCTCGCGATGTACAGGAAGGCCCCCGGACGACGAGGCGGCCGGACAGTGTTCGAAGGACTCAGTCAGTCGGAAAAGACGAGGTCCGGTCAGAAGCGATGTTCCGCTGCAATCGCCTGGATCGTCGCCACATCCTCATCAATCCAAAGCTTGCCACCTTTTGTCACGACTTCAGTTGCTCTGCGGACCTCCCTCGGCTGGTCACCCATCCCACTGATCTGGTCATTTTTGATCCAACTCATGCCGCTTCCAAACTCCACCTCCATGTCGCCCTCCCTGGCGGGCGGCTCCGCACCCATCCTCCCCTTCACCATACGTATGCCGTGACATTTGAAGGAGCTTCGTCCGATCGCTGTGTCGAGTGCTGTGGGCAAACTCTTTGCCCGCGTTCTGCTGAATCGTGCTCTCCCCATGATCTCACCCTCTCCCCATGATCTCACCTACTACATACGCACCGTGCTCTGGCAAGCATCGACAGACTTACATTGTATTCCATACTTTCTCGGGAACGGGGGCACCGCTTGCACTGTTTAAGCTCGACCTCGGCTCTCATCACCCAACTCGAAGCTCGGATTGGGCCAGGGGCTGAACTACAATGCTGGAAAGGCCTCCTATGGACGACTCGAGGGTGTCTCCAAACTCCGTGGGTCAGCAGCACGGTCGAGATGAATCGGGGGATCAAACAGGGATCGATCGAGTCTCCGAGTTTCTTCGGTCACGTTACTGAAATTGTGCTCGCCATTTCGGTCGAAACGCAAGTGTGGAAGTCCCAGCCCAAGGTGCTGGAGGGCATGGATGCAGAAGAAATGCTGTTTGTCGGCGATGGCTTGTGGAGTAGGAGCTGTGGCTGTGGGTCTTTCAGCAAAGCGTGGCATGGCTTGCAGAGTTCGGCCTCAACATTGGACTCTTAGGCCCTGGCAAATGCCAACTGTACGTGACCAAGACCGTTGAGGATGGGGACCAGGTGATGGTGGCAGGGGTTGTGGTCACCACAGCAACGTACTCCATCGAAATCATGGGCATCAAAATGCTAGGGCATCAAAATGTTATGAATTGTTGTCCCCCTTGCCTCGCGTGCCAAGGCCAAGTTTTGGGAGCTCAAGCACATCTTTCGCTGCAAGTCAGGCATGAAAGCTAGGGCAACCCTCCTGCAACGGGTGGTAAGGGCCACCGCCCTGTGGTGCCTCTGCAGCTTTCCCCCTGATGCGGCGGCCATGTCCACATTGAACGCAACCCAGCTGCACCCTTCCTTGAGGTGTTGCTGGACGTGACGTTGCTGTGTCCTACCAGCAGGACAACGAAAGTGTTCTTGGAATCCTGAAGGCCGGCTACTGTGCGAAGTTGCGGCACGTGAACAGAGTTCATCGTGTCAACGTTGCTTCCGCGTAGGAGAGACTCGCAGAAGAACGAGTCCATGCAAACTAATTATTGTAGAAGGCAAATACTGAGGGTCAACAGGTCTATTAAGATCATATCACCACCGGAAAAGCCTTTAGTGCTCAGTCAACTTTGCCTATTACCTGCCATCAGTGAGGCGTTAGCACATCCGGCAAAGGCCTTTTCGGTAGATGCTTTCGTGACTTGCGTGTTGGTAGATCCTCGCGCGGCTGCGGGCAACCTGCCTCGTCGCATTGAGGAATAGCACCCTTTGCGCTCGTTAATACTCCTCCACGACGGAACCAGCACAGCCCCAGAGACTGAAGCGACTCACGGTTTTCTGTTGGAGTTTACACAAATGGTGGTGGTATAGTTGGTATTCGAACTGGAAGTAATACCCGCCTTGTCCCAGAGGTTCCTTGTGTACTAACCAGATTGTCAGACCGCAGCACAGACGCCACGCGTTTTTCAGCGGTTGCTGTGTTCCGTGGTCAACAGACCGAACTACACACCGACAAGTGGAACGAACCCAGCCAGTACAACCAAATACTGCCGATTAGGCAGGTTGTTGGTGGAGGGATATGGATGAATATCCAGAAAGAGAGGACCAATGCGCCCCGTTCAACCTTCAACCTTCCTGGTCGCGCATCCTTGACCTTCCAGCTTCCTTCCATCCTTCCCGAAAACACGGCACTGTCCCGTGGCAGGGATCCTTTGGACAACGGCTTGTACTTGTTGCTTACAGGCTTACACCCCTTGTGGTTGGCAAAGCTTACTTGCCCTGACAAGACCAGCCGATGCTGAGTAAAGGCTGCGGGTTTTCACTTGCCTCGCCTTCAGCATTGCGCCGCGAGTGGCCTCCTCTCCTGTTACCTGTTGGATTAACTTGAGATCTGCCATAGGGGCCCGTAGGTTCGCTGAAAACTGCACAGTTACGCCGTTGCCTTGACAGTTACCTTCAACGTAGGTACAACAGAGACTTCCAGAATCCGGAGAATTAAAAACACATAGGATTCACACCCGCATGTGCAAATTCCGGACAGTCATATGGCAAGTAGCAGTGTTGCTTGAGCCCAACACGTCAGCACAACCTGACACAACACTACGACGTGACCTTCGCTGCCTAAGGGTAAAACAGTACTTGTGCAAGCTGCTTGCCGTTTTTATACTTTTTATACGATAAAACCCTCAAACAATTTTAATAATTGATTCTCCACGCCTACATATATGACACATCCACAAACGAAGCTTTGCGGTATAACTTTTTTCCCAGCCACAGCCAGCTTGTCAGTGGAATGTTACGAGTGCTGAAACGATTTAGGAATAGCGCAAGATCTTGCAGCTCTTATAGGGGGTGGAAGGTTTGCCTTGCGGGAGAAATTGCCGGGCCCGGCTTGCTTGTTGGTCTTGTGCGGTTCGCCCATTAGTGTGTTGCGTTGGTTGCGGACCCGTGGAAGACTTCTGGCGGAGGACAGTCAAATATGCGCAAGCGTAAGTTGATGTGTATGGTAATTTGGAGGCTCTCAGCTTCCAATGGAGGAGCCATTGACAGCAGCTAGGCCAAATTGAGCAATACAACGCCATTGCTGCAGGCAGGTTTTCGGAGTGAGTCTTTGTCCTGCAGTCGAGGACGCCCGCTCGAATCTGCTGCGGGCTGTCATCATAGCAGGTCGAGCAGATTTGACGGAGGTTTGCATCTTCTTTGGTAGCACCATGGCTGTCAGATCACACCGAGTAATCGGATCTTGAATTTCAGATCTGCTTTGTATGTGGCTTTGTTTGGAGTTGCAGAGGATTTCGGAACTATGTTCTGCCGTGCCTACGCTCCCAGGCAAGCTCTTCCGGGGAAATCGCTGCAAGAAGCTGGACTGTCAAGCTGCAAGAAATTGCTCGCCTGCTGGCTTGTGTCTGTGGACGCCTCCTGCCCCCAAACCCACTTCAAAAAGAACGTGCCTGCATACTTCACGCAGAGCTTTTATTTCCACACTGTGTCACTGTTGAAGTGCATGCATACTTTGAAACGTGACGAATTTGAACCACAGTGCAGTCTTATCGACTGGGTGTGTATTCGAAGGCGAACAGTTGGCATTCTTGACAAGCTGCTCGTCGTTGCTACATCATGCTCCTCCTGTTTCAATCGAGGGCTTTCTGGACGCAGTGTTGGTTTGACTCGCATATTGTTCGATGCTAGCTTCGTTGCTTCTTGGCTTCGCTTCTGGCGCTTCTCTGCCTTGTGTGTTGATTTGGCTTCTTGACTCTGGGTCTTCGCGGCTTTCGTGGCTCATGGCTTGTGTGCTGTCTGGCTTGCAGCTTCGTGGCTCGATGGCCTCATTGGCTACCCATGGTTCTTCTCGGAGTTTCCGTGTTCCTTGCTTTGATGCCTTCTGGTGTGATCGCTTCGTATGCCTCTAAAGCTATTTCGTGTGTAGTAATCTCGAGAGGAAACATCTAATTCACGCATACTAGTACATACTATCTAATAAGTATGTTAAATGGAGATGTTGGGCAGGAAAAGGTTCATGTTGGCTGGGGACCCTGAAACTTGGGAATTGGTAGGCGGCGAAGTGAAGCCATAAGCCCTGAAGGAACATGTAGAATGTAGACTTTTGCCTTTGAAGACCTTGCTTGGTTCGGTCACAGTACGCACAGTACGCACATTGGCACATTGTCGATCGTGGGTTGACCGGGCCTGTTCGGCAAGGCGGGGGGTTCAGTGCAGCCAGATCGCGCTCTTTTTTGCCGTATCTTGAAAAAGACGGGATGCCGACGTCATGTCAAATTTTGCTGGACTGAAAAGGATTCAGAATTGAAAGGGAGTGGATCCGGCTTGAACAGTAAGGACTTGAAAGTGTGCAGCACAAAATTGAGCATCAGTTGGTGAACTGTCACCGCAAACAGTAGTCGATGCTCGGGAAAGCTTAAAGACTCCGGAGCATAATTGCAAGTTTAGTCCCGCCAGGCAGAAGCTCCGATTGCCTCTCTGCTAACTGGAATCCGGACATATATGAGCAGTGACCTTGCATGAGGCGTTGATACACGATATTTCAGCGGAAGGCATTTTCAGAGAACACAGGTATCATTCTTGTTTCCGTGTTGTCTGAAACCGCGACCCTGCAGACCGCGGCATACAAACAGCTCTTTGCAGTGTTCAGCTTGACTTACCCGGCCACGGCAAGGTCAAACAACTTGGCTGCGAGTCGTTTCCTGCCTTCGCACCTCATAGCACCGTCCAAGCGCAAAAAGGGTAGCGTGGCCTATTGCCTTCTGTAGCTTGGAGGTCCGTTCCCATTCATCTGTGGCACAAGTGCCGTTTGTTGACCGGAGACGGCTGCCGCCGTAGTAGGAAAATCCTCAAGTCAAAGTCTGTGTTCTGCCACCATGACGATTTGAACTGTTGCCAAAAATGCTATGTGGAGGATGCGAACGCTTTGACGGCCTTCGACTCACCCAATTTTCCTGAGTTAGCCGTCGTTGGAACAGAGGCCCAGCTTTCTAGCACATCCGTACTCAGCAGCAGGGCTGTCAGTGATAATGTTGCTTGCTTGGACGCTACATGCATTTCGTGTATTCGTTTCTTTCGATCTGGTTTTTGCAGCAGTCTCCGGCAGGTCAAGATTCATCACCGGCTGCTGTGCAATCCACCCAAAGGAAGATTCCGCGTGCTCCCCGTGGTGACATATTCTGCTAGGGTGTAGACACCAAGCAGTGAAAGCGCATCTACACATGCCTCACTTTTTCAATATTAATTCCCGGCCGGAGCATTGCTGATGGCTCCCGAGACCACCCCGTGAATCCAACATGCACATCGCAAACAAGGCCCAACTGTCACCGCATCCCAATGACCTGGCGATCTGCGGAAGACCCGCCTGGAGATGACCAAAGACATTGAAAGCTGAAGCCCCAAACCCAGAACCTAAACCCTAACCCAAATCAAGCCCTTCGCTAGAAGCTCACCCCCCAACAAATCTTACCCTGTTGTAACATCTAGATTCCTGGAGACTGCGGTCCTAGAAACCATAAAACCCCAAATCAAACCTGCTTGACCTTAAACATTAAACCTTAAAAGCCCTTTCTGGAAGATCGCCCCTGCAGTCTTGCTGTTGTCGTGGTAGACTCCGTAAACTGTCAACCCCACAGCACTTGATTTAGATCAAACCCAGCTGACCCTGTGAGCTCTGGGCAGCCCCCCAAAGTCGTAAAGCCAACGAAGAGCAAGGGGGCCACGCTGAACGTGTTTTGAGGCGGTACCGAAATTTTGGCAGGTTGAATTTTGCAGTCTCACATTTTTCGCGCCGCCTGCGGTCCTCAAAAGTGGCTGGAAACATAAAATCAGAAGCCTATAGAGGGTCCACATTGTTTGGGGACCGCAAATTCACCGATTGGACTTGACAGCAGAACATTGCAGCGAGGTACATCTGATGACGGTGACGGACATCATTGTTGTTTGTGTGGTACCAGGCCGGCGGCCAGTGGGACATCAGCAACAGATTCAGGCTGCATGTTGTCCACATATCCGGGTGGGAAATATCACCTTCCCACACTCACCCTCTTCTTCGAACTCATCACTTTGACCAAAGGAAGGACTGGAGTCTCGCAAACCGTTACTGCAATTTTTCCAGCCTAGGCATCAGTGCAAATGTCTGGGGAGCCGGGGGGAGTTGTGCTGCTGCCTCTTCTGGCTTCAGCTTGTGCTCATTGGGCTGCGCACAGTCTTGTGGTACCGAAGCCTTTTGCAGTCGCATTTGTAGATTCAAGTCAAGTCGATGGAGTGAATTTCGTTTTCGGGGCCTCTGCAGCTTGTAAGTAGCACAGAGACAAGCACGATAGGCTACCGGGCATGGCCTTTTATGCCTTTTGGTTTCGGAGGTTTTGGAATGTTGCGAGGTTCATTAACATAAGTGCAGTGTCTGAATTGCAGAAGGCCTCTGGAATTTAGTTGCACAGATTGAGCCGTTCGGTGAAACCTGTGCATGAATTTGCCAAGTTTGCTGGCATGGGGGGGTTATCTTGTGGAACGCCCATGCCACTATGCAAAGTGGAGAACATCTGTGCCGCATGAAATCACAACATGTGTCAGCAGCAGCCCTGAAGGTTTTTCCGATGGCTTCTTTGCGGCCCGTCTTCAAGAATCAAGCCTGGGGCAATTGCGTGATGCAGCAAGACACGGTGTGCAACTGTCCTTCGGTGAACCACAGTGGACTTCTACAGCTGAGGACAGCGTGGCTACAGCAGGAAATGTGAAGGGCGTTGTTCTCATGCTTTACGGCTTCCTCGGAAGCAAGGAAAAGTGTTTTTTTGTAAGGGTTCTTTTGTCGTGCTGGACAAGACTTGGGTCATGGCATGTCATGGCAATTGGAGTCAGGTTGCGGAAACGCGCCTGCACGCAAGACGAGCTTTCTGGCTGCCTGCTCCAAGCTGCAAGGGGCTAAGTCTGCTAAGTGAGGGGCAGAGTCATGTTTTGCTTACCTCCGTGGCAATGTCGCAGGGTCACTGCTGGAATTGTCGTGGTGGCCTGCTCTCAGTGTATACATGGCAATGTGGAGCTGGATAAGTACGCAGTGGGTCGTGCAATTGCAGACTGCGGCGTGACTTGGCTGAAGTGTTCACCGACAGTGTATATTCGTTGCTTGCGATCTTAGTTTCCAGAACGTTTGCAGAGGTGATTCCTGGCCATGATATGACTGCAGAGGCTACTGACCGACACTCAGATTCGAGGCTGTTCTTACATAGGGTTGTCATGTTGCAAACATTCCTGTGTTTGGAACGAAAGCGGTCTGAACCGTGCTAAGGTCACGAAGTTAGCATACTTGCTGTCCAAGGGTCTTTCCCCGGGCGAGTGCCGCAAGGACACTTGCAGAATGCTTGCATTCCTTGCAAGCCTCGCAGCATTGTGGATGTTTTCCTGTCTTGTCCTAGAGCCGTGGTGTCTGGCAGACCTCAAGAGGCTATGCAAGACAACTTGCGCGGTGAAATGTTCTCGCCTGCGAAGACTTTAGAACCCTGCCTGCATGCTGATAGCTGTTTCAACCGGATTGACCATGCATTGCAATTGCATTGTGTGTTCTACATGTAAGGACGTTTCTTCCTCGTGGATGGATTTGCCAAGTCCATCATGAGAAAGGGACGACTCGAAGCTTCCCCGCAAAGGGGACTCGACAGCCTCCAGATCCCACGCGAGAACAAAGTCTTCTCGCGAAAAGGCCGCCAGGCCCACGAGACAGGGCGTGGACCCTTTCAGTTCGGGACCCGCTCCCTGGAGAGAGCGCGTGCTGCGCCAAAAGAGGTCCAACCAAAGAGAAGCAAGGCTTGCAACCCGCCCGCCGCCCCGTNNCCCCCCCCCCCCCCCCCCCCGCAAACGTAGGAAAAGGCCTGCAGAGTAGTTACGTTGTGTAACTCCAGCTTGAGCAGAGCGGAATTCCAGTCATACCAGAGCCGCCAGTTTGCCAGGTGGTCTTAGACATGGCCGCAGCTCCCGGTGGCAAGACTACGTGCCCTCGCGTGAAGTCTACGGAAGGCTCGCACCTCATGGCGCTTGGCGAAGGTACATTGGCCAACTGATGCGAAACACGGGCACCTTGTTTGCGAATGATCTACGGCGTGATCGATGCAAGGAGCTCCGTGTAATCGTCCCTGGAACTATGCAAGCGGTTTCACGCGATTGCCATTTCCACCCAATTCACAGCAATTCTGGCGACACCACATGGCGGAAGGCTCTTGTGGCAAATGTGCACCGGTTGGGCTTAACAAATGTTGTGGTGTCTGCACCTCAGCAGCCAAGGCAGAAAACGCATGTCAAGAGCAACACAAATGGAACCTCCGCCAGTAGCCGCTTAAGCGGCTTAGCTGAGGACCAACTTGGATGGCAAGAAGCTCTCGAAGATGCTGCCGCGCCTGGATCGGGTCAGAGGCCAAGGAGCGGAGCTGGGGTAAAGAGCGGTCAGTACTGTCACTTTTTTCTTGCATTTCAACTTGACGTCCAACATCTCCTTGGGTCCTGCTGCATGAAATCGACATCGCAATGCCGATGCAATTTCAAAGGCTCTTTGCTTGGCTTGGGAAGCCTAGGCCTGCACTCTCAGCCTAAGAGAAACCAAGAAACGTTCATCAGACAATCCACTGCTTCTTGACATCCTTCAAGTTACACCGTCTCCCACTGCAAACGGCTTGCCATTCACGAGGTTCTCTTGGATGCTCCTTGCACAGGCACGCTGACCTTCAAATGGGTTTCAGAGAGCCACCAACATTAATTGACTTGCTGTTTTGCAGGTTCCGGCATTATTGCCCGAGATCCATCTGTCAAGGTGAAGAGAGGCCAGAAGGAGCATCTTCATTGCGTTCCACTTTCGCTCAATTTGCTCTTTTCCCTTGCTAAGTTTTCATGCTGTGCTTTGTTCCTGGGGTCATTTCTTCTCGTTGCTATTTGTTGCTCAGTTCATGTTTGAGATCCGGGATCATAAGATTTTCTATGAGAAATTATTCAGCGGCATTTCAGTGCAAGGATGTCGGGTGCGTGAGCTGTCTGTGAATTTTCAGTAAATGGAGTTTGGAGGGGCAGGCAGGTTCAGTGATTTGTTTGCCAAGATGTTCTTTCCTCTGATTGTTCTGATTTTGTCGCGGGCCGGCGCAACCCCCAAGCGACTTTTATGCCAGCTGTTCTCGGTGAACTGCATGCGCAGTGCGTCGGCCTCAGCAGCTCTGTCTACTGCCAGTGCGCAGGAGTTGCACTTAGTTTCTCCTTCACATCTGCTGCACTGCCACGCTTCGTGTTACGGGTGGCCTCCTCCAGTCCTGCTTGACGGAAGTCGCCTCCGCTTGATGCTGCTGTGGACGGGTCCGAAAGTTGTTGCTGCCTTTTCCATGTCTCAGAGTTCACGATCGCAGAAGGGAAACGTGTCTTGGTGTTCCGCAACGAATGAGGGGCAGCACTTACTTTGATGCCAGTCTTGGCTTCGTCAGGGAGGGGCCTTGTTTTGGGCAAGTCACCGTTTCTTCACCTCCTCTTCGCCATCTCCAGTCTTCATGGATTTGCTGACATCGCCGGTGCTCCGAAGCCACAAAGCTTTTTTGGCAGGCCTCCAGTGAAGCAGGATTGTTTTTTCTTGTTTCTGTTTGTTTCTGAAACGGGCTTTAACAAGGCTGATCTTGCCGTTGCTTTTTTCGCAATGGCTCCTCGAGGGCGGAGGCAGAAACTTGTATAGTGCTGGAAGGGCATATACTGGCAGTCACGAACGCTATCTCCGTGGAGCTTGCGGGAGTTGTCGTTTACCACTAACTCAAGTGAACCAGGCCAAAATAGTGTTTAAACACGGGCAACATGCAGTTTGCTCATTGACGTTGCTTGACTTCTGCGTGTTATGATATTGAATGTCTATATGCGCAGGTTTTGTGTACTGTCCTGGTAGGATTCCGTCAAGCACGATGGCAAGTGCATCGATCATCTATGCAGATTCAAGCACCACGGCACTTGCATCTGTTTTTGTGCCGTCGAGCAGGTTTCACGGTTTCAAGAATCATGTCGCCGGTTTCAAGCACCATGAACCCTGCCGAGCATTCGCGCAATGACGCATCAAATTTGTCGGGTTTGCCCTAGCTTTCGAGGCCCTCTTCTTAAGTTCTCCGAGACTGCAAATGTTGTTGTCGTGCTCCGCAGACTCCGCAGACAGGCACAGTCTGCTAGGAATTTGGGTTTATTTGGGTTTGGGGCTTGGCTGGCGGAGGAGCCTTCGACTCATCACACAAGTGCACCTCCTAAACTCTAAACTGTCGGTGTAACTCACGGTTGCGTGGTTTCCTGCCTGGCGGGCGTGGGGCTGTGTCAGAGAGGTATGATGATGACCCTTTGGATTTTGGAGTTTTGCTGAGGATCGGTGTATGCTACAAAAAGTTCCCTCGTTTTGCATAAGCTGATCAGTATCAAGGAGCCTGCGAACAAGGATCGCAGCCGACTGAGGACTCAAAGTTCGAAAAAGTGGGAATGAAACCACCAGGGGAGGTGTCAGGGAAAGCAGGCAAGCATAGGCGAGCAATGGTTCAGGCCAGGCTATGGCCGGGAGCTTTGCACTCAGAAGTTGCGTGCGTTCTCCTCGGGCCGAAGACTCAGTGTGGCCGTCACCGTTCGCAGATTCCGCCAGGAATCAAAGGGTTGAGTCACTAACAGTAGTGACGATGCTTTCTTCTTCGTGTCGACGACTCGTTCTGGTCGTCACCGCGCACTCCGCCACGTGCAAAATAGAGTGCTGAGTCACTGAATCATCGTTGCGTCGTGCAAAATGCTTGTTTCCAGACAGCTGCCTGCAATTTTGAGAAAAGGTATCTCTTCGTTTAGTGCTTCCTCTGTGTCCCGTCTTTTTCCTATTCTGAATCATCGGTAAGGTAAAGTCACAAGTAAAGTCTTGTTCACTCGACGTAGCTCTTCTGTGAAAGCAACCTCATGCGAGGACTTCGAAAGCCACAGCCGTTTGCAAAAGGAATTGCTCGCAGCAGCCATCGACATGGTGGACGCAGGCGAGCGCTGAGAAAACGCATCGCCCCGGACCGCCATGCGAAATTGGGAGGCTCCAAGACCGGCGGATACGTCGTCTATTCCACCTGCTCAGTGTCGGTGGAGGAAAACGAGGCCTCCAGAAACCGTAAACCGCTTCGCATTGCTGCGCCTCTCCTGCAGGCGGTAGTGGACCATGCCTTGAAGACGCGGAATGTCGAATTGGTGTCGTTCACAAGCTCCGTTAGCAGGGGCCTTGGGTCAATGTTCGTTAGAGCAACGTCCCGGTATCCGACCCGATATCGCCGATGTCCTTTGTTAGTAAAGTGCGGACACTCCGTAGCGGTTCTAAGACTAACGAGCAGTGCACAGCCGTGCAGTGCAGTTGACTGGGTTTCTGTTGGCCTCGATTCGAAAGTTGACTGGCACGTGTTGCATCCTGGTAGTAGGTTCCCATCCTAGGCAGCATCATCACATGTCGACAATTCCGGTGAGCAGCCTAAGGCTTTGGCGTCGAGGGTCTGACGAAGTACCGGGAACGAAGGTTTCACCCTTCGCTCAACCTAACACGCCGATATTATCCCCATGTGCACAACATGGCTGCATCCTGAGCACAGCAAGAGACAGTCAGTTTCTTCATCACCCTCAGTCGCTGCTGCTAGCAGGTCCTGGTGCTGCTTTTTGCGTCTCGTCGTGCAGACGACTCGAGACATTGTGTCTTTTGTGACAAGGATGGCTTCTTCGTCGCGAAGCTGAAGAAAACGTCGAACAAAGTGTCCGCGTCTTTGATCTGAGGCGGTCGGCCTTGGCTTAGCTCTGCTCTGTTCGGAGGCCAGAGCGTGCAAAGAAGGATCGCGCAAAGACAGATGACAAAGAATGGGGTGAGGAAAGCTCGGCAGTTTCTTGCGGACGGCTTCACGACACATCCTAGCTTCTCATGTGCGGCGGTCGGTTTAGAAGATTGCACGAAATCCCGGAGAGATGTCTTTTGATTGTAGACTGTTCAGGAGCATTGGACTCCCGCCTTCATGGATTCCGTGGTTGATTTCGAGGCACATCGGATGCCGACTGTGTATGTGGTCGACATGGTGCACGCGGCTTTCTCTGGAGAAAGGCCTCTGCAGATTTGCCCTGGTGGCGCTAAGTGCTTGAGGACTGGAGAACATCGATCATCGACCGTCTGTGTTGGCTTCTGACAACTGGCAAATCTTCTCTGATTTCCCCCATGGCGCACCAGATTTCGACATCCTGAATCCTGAGCCCAAATCCAAGCCCAGGGGCCTGGAATGGCCTGCACCTGCAGGAAGCACAGGCCACAGCACAAGGTGATAACACGGCCACGGACATCCACGGACCATAGGGTGATAGCAAGGCCAAGTCCCGAGCCGAGTCGGATGATCCATAAGACCCGCAGCATCCCACAGCCTGTGGCATGATCGGGAACGGAGTTTGGCAGCAAGTCTCAAGTACCTCTCGTTCCAGTTGATACCAGATGCAGCAGATGACGTGCAGATGGGCATCAGCATTGTCCGTATCAGGCCGGGAATGGGCAAGCTGTCGCGTGCTGAGTGGCCAATTTTGATACTGAGCATCGCTGAGACAAAGCCCTTTGGAGCCGCTTCATGGGTTCGCAAAGGCCAGCGCCAAGAAGACGTCTCGAGAGAAGAAGCGTCTTCGACGTCGGAGGCCCAGCCTGTCAGGCAGCGCTGACTGCCCGCAACAGTCGTAAATGCCGCAGAGCTGCCTTTTTGCAGGACGCTCTTGAGGTATCAGGTCGGACGGTTTGGACACATCTCGCCTGCGAGGACAGAAGCTCATCGATGCGCGCGGGTTTCAACAAAAGTTTCCACCACGCAGCGCAACCGAAGACACTGCCAAAGAGCAGGCCGATGGGAGAGTGGCAGGTTGTTGGAGCTTAAGCTGCTTCTCGTGTCAAGCTTTTGCGCAGGCTGAGGCTGAGCCTCGCAAAAGAAAGAAAAAGATGCCAGCGAAAGAACTGCAGAGCGAGGTCAGCGAGGTCAAACCCAAAAAGTCACCAAAGAAGGTCCGCTGGACAGCCATCGAACCCGCTTTCTGTCGACCCGATTCCCGGGTTTAACGACAGTTTAGACATGCTACGCTGCTACGCTTTGCCGCATCTAGCTGCTTCATCTAGGATCCTCTGTCTGAAAGCAAAAGGCACAAGGGGCAGTTCAGGCCAACGACATCCTCAATGTCGTCTCTCCCATCCTCTATTTGACACCACCGAGCCACATCGAGTGGTCATGCCACGCACTGTGAAGGAGCACGTTGGGCCGTGGTGGGGAGTTATAATATTACCGGTGTGGGAACTTGAAGCATCCAGACTGCTGGACGATGCTTGCACGGGCCGGCAACCAGCCCGCAAGTACAGGGTTAAGTGTAAAGATCATTGCATAGCAGCTGTACAGCTGTAGCAGACATCCGGCATCCTTTCCCGTGGAGATCTCCACTGGAACCAATTCCAAAACGCCACATGGTTAGGACGGGGAATACATACGACATGTTAGAGTCATTGCCCTTTTTGGAGTCCCCAGAGTGATGACTTCTTCTGACCTCTTGTGGCTATTAGGCAGCAATGAATAACCACCGTCACCTGGACCTGCATATTCCTATGAGGATAATGCAAACTAGTGCAAAGCTCATGTCTTGACACCACTGGTCCGCTGTAAGTGTCCTTCCCAGCATGCTTGATCACTGTGAATGCTGGCAGGGCTTTGATGGCAAGCAAGCCTGCGAGTGTGCTGCTTTTGCAGTGCTTACGAGAAGTAGAAGTGATGTAGTGCAGCTATGAGGTCCGGCCTGTTGACGTGGCGCTTGTTCATGATTTGTTCCAACACCCATCCCGGTTGGCTGTGCCATCGGTGGCAGCCAGCATGAGAATCCACGTTCAGCAAGTCAGTTGAACTCATACCACTTGCAAGGTGCTGCCGACAAGCAGAAGGGCAAAAGCAGTCAAAAGCAAGGACAAAGCCAAGGACGCAGCCTGTTTGTTTCGCTTGTTAAGCGTCGCCAGTTCCCTTATACTACGTCATCTTCCGAACCGGCAGGGCAAAATGAAAAGGCAAAAGCTGTAGGCAGGTGTTTTGCTAGTTGAGTTCTGAGGCTGCTGTGCTCGCGGTGACAATCATAATTACCCCAAGTGGCAGGGAAAGGGAGGCTGAGCATGAGCCGACATTGACGGCATTGATTGCCCTACAGTGTCGCTACATCAGGCTCTCAAAAAATGCAAGTGTGGGCACAAACAGCTCGCAGCAGCTTGCATCATTTGGTCGCTGCCGGCATCCGTCACCAAGCTGCGCTCATGCACAAGCCATCATAGAGCCTAATGCGCGAAGCAAGCTGCTTCACTGCGTTCATCAATCAAATTGGTGGGGCACAGCACACATTCCCAGTCAGAAGCAAAGTTGGCAGATGAGACGCAGAACACAGGAGTGAGCACAGGCCCACAATCGGCCATTTGATGCGCGCTAGTAGCCCCAATGCGTCTGCAGACAGAAAATGGGCAGATCGAGGCACAGAGCATGTCCAGTGCAGCAGGAAGCTAAGCGATTTGGGCGCTGCTGATGCAAGGCCTTGGCAACGGCGATCAACTGGGTTGGGCTATGGAGACAAGCGTCGAGCTGAGGAAAGGCCGAGCAAAGCCCAGCCTGTCCGGGCAATGTCTCAGGCAGACTTCGACTCGCCGCTGCGAAGCGATGCCTTAACATGGGTGCGCTTCAGGGAAGCCACTGCTCGCTTTGTGGGCACTCGTCGGCATGTTTGTTTTGTGTGTGCCTCGCTTCAGACCAATGACGAAGTTCGCCACTATGTGAGAAGTGGAGGCACGGAGCTGCCGCAACACCAGGCAAGGTCGGGGTGGTTGTTGTTGTTGGTGGTGGTGGTTGTGGTTGTGGTTGTGGTTGTGGTTGTGGTTGTGGTGGTGGTGGTGGTGGTGGTGATGGTGGTGGTGGTGGTGGTGTTTGTGTTTGTGTTTGTGGTTGTGGTTGTTGTTTTTGTTGTTGTTGTTGTGCCATGACTGCCCGCCCAGTCATGGGGACAGATGGTCTGCTTACCATCGCTCTGGGAGAGGGCGCCAACTACCGCGTTCTTCCCAGGATCACCGGTTTCTTCGGCATCATCAGTGCCTTATTCAAGCGACTTTGGGATCAGGCCGAGATGCACGAAACCCTTGAAACCGATGACAATTTTGAGATTGTGGCGTCCACTATTAAAGCCATCTACGACCAAACATGCAGGTCGTGTGGGCTGATCAACAGGCTCATCATCTACATGCCGAGTGATGGTGAAACGGTCCGCAAGATGCGCATTGATCATAGAGTGGGCGACACCCCTGCCAAGCAGAAGCTGCTGCGCCCTGACAAGCGGCATTCTGAAGACCATGGCCCTGTCTCAGAAAAGAGACAAAAGGACGAGACTGCCAGTTCACGTCAACAGTGGGATGATAGCTCGTGGTGGCAATCTTCCGATTGGACCTCCTCGTCGAGTTCCTGGCGCTGGAATCAGTAGGGCCTGTGGCCGGGAGCACGGGGCCTCGGGCGAAGTCAAGCATATCTGCACCGGTGGCTCGGCCAACCTTTTAGCCATTATGTACTCGTTTTCCTCCTCACCAGAGGACGACCACAGTCTTGCGTCGCCCGTGTCAAAAGCACGCTGCCCTGCGCACGTAAGCTTCCCATGTGATTGCCCGGCTGTCATATGTGCCTCAAAAGGTACCTTCTGAGTTGCTGTAGCCCGCAGGTTGTACAGCAGTGAGCGGCCACACTCCTTAGCTCCAGTAGCTTATGCTTTTCATTATCCGTCTTGGAGCCTTCTTGTCTAGCTGTCTTGTTTCATCAAGGTTTCACTGTCTAAACTTCCATCAAGTTGAGAGTGCCAGTGCGGTAATTGCCCGCCACGTGCTGAGCCCGCTCGCACCGCGTCCAATTGCAAAATTGTTGTTGTTGTTGTGGTGGTGGTGGTGGTGGTGGCGGCGGTGGTGGTGGTGGGAAGAGCCGGTATGTTCCAACTAACACTCCGTACCAGCAAAGTTCCCAGCATGCGGCACAGGTACGTCAGGTCCTTACGGCCCATCGCTTTCGTCTGTGAGTGACCAAGTGCGGGACGCCGCTA